TGACAGATGGAATTCGATATAAGAGTACGCCGTAGTGCCGCTGTCCGGGCAAAATTTCCCCCATCGCACAGTGTATGGCGTCTGCCCGTCTTCATTAGCCCAGTTCCAAGCAGAACAGTAGGACGTTAAAACCCCATTTCATTTCTTTTCATTTCTTGAAACTAGTTGGGAAGCCCCCCGGTCTCTACCCCATGCCCCGGCTCCTTCAGCTATGTCTAAGAGCATGATTTGCTACCATATCATCTTAGCCCGCTGCCACCGCTGCTTAATATTGAGCGACTTGTTTATTCGACTGAAGTATTCGACTGAACTATTCGACTGAAGTATTCGACTGAACTTTTCGACTGAATTATTCGACTGGTTTATTCGACTGGATTATTCGACTGAACTAACTGACTGATTTTATCGACTGGACGAGGCCACATGACAATGTCAAATACCTCATCCCCCCCCCGCCCCACCCCATCCCCTTTCTTCGTTCATATCATATATAGGGACTCTATTCTTTTCGAGGCGGACAAGGACAGCTGTCTAGTCGTTCGGATGGGACGAAAAACCGAGGTCCCGTGTCTACATTGGAGTGGACGTAAAAGATCCCTTTGACAGATGGAATTCGATATAAGAGTAGGCCGTAGTGCCGCTGTCCGGGCAAAATTTCACTCATCGCACAGTGTATGGCGTCTGCCCGTCTTCATTAGCCCAGTTCCAAGCAGAACAGAAGGACGTTAAACCCCATTTCATTTCTTTTCATTTCTTGAAACTAGTTGGGAAGCCCCCCGGTCCCTACCCCATGCCCCCGGCTCCTTCAGCTATGGCTACGAGCATGATTTGCTACTATATTATCTTAGCCCGCTGCCACCGCTGCTTAATATTGAGCGACTTGTTTATTCGACTGAATTATTCGACTGAACTATTCGACTGGTTTATTCGACTGAACTTTTCGACTGAATTATTCGACTGGTTTATTCGACTGGATTATTCGACTGAACTAACGGACTGATTTTATCGACTGGACGAGGCCACATGAAAATGTCAAATACCTCATCCCCCCCCACCCCAGCCCCACCCCATCCGTTTCTTCGTTTATATCATATATTGGGACTCTATTCTTTTCGAGGCGGACAAGGACAGCTGTCTAGTCTTTCGGATGGGACGAAAAACCGAGGTCCCGTGTCTACATTGGAGTGGACGTAAAAGATCCCTTTGACAGATGGAATTCGATATAAGAGTAGGCCGTAGTGCCGCTGTCCGGGCAAAATTTCCCTCATCGCACAGTGTATGGCGTCTGCCCGTCTTCATTAGCCCAGTTCCAAGCAGAACAGTAGGACGTTAAAACCCCATTTCATTTCTTTTCATTTCTTGAAACTAGTTGGGAAGCCCCCCGGTCACTACCCCATGCCCCCGGCTCCTTCAGCTATGGCTACGAGCATGATTTGCTACTATATTATCTTAGCCCGCTGCCACCGCTGCTTAATATTGAGCGACTTGTTTATTCGACTGAATTATTCGACTGGATTATTCGACTGAATTATTCGACTGAACTATTCGACTGGTTTATTCGACTGAACTTTTCGACTGAATTATTCGACTGGTTTATTCGACTGGATTATTCGACTGAACTAACTGACTGGTTTTATCGACTGGACGAGGCCACATGAAAATGTCAAATACCTCATCCCCCCCCACCCCCGCCCCACCCCATCCCCTTTATTCGTTTATATCATATATAGGGACTCTATTCTTTTCGAGGCGGACAAGGACAGCTGTCTCTTCTTTCGGATGGGACGAAAAACCGAGGTCCCGTGTCTACATTGGAGTGGACGTAAAAGATCCCTTTGACAGATGGAATTCGATATAAGAGTAGGCCGTAGTGCCGCTGTCCGGGCAAAATTTCCCTCATCGCACAGTTTATGGCGTCTGCCCGTCTTCATTAGCCCAGTTCCAAGCAGAACAGAAGGACGTTAAACCCCATTTCATTTCTTGAAACTAGATGGGAAGCCCCCCGGTCCCTACCCCATGCCCCGGCTCCTTCAGCTATGGCTACGAGCATGATTTGCTACTATATTATCTTAGCCCGCTGCCACCGCTGCTTAATATTGAGCGACTTGTTTATTCGACTGAATTATTCGACTGAACTATTCGACTGGTTTATTCGACTGAACTTTTCGACTGAATTATTCGACTGGATTATTCGACTGAACTAACTGACTGATTTTATCGACTGGACGAGGCCACATGAAAATTTCAAATACCTCATCCCCCGCCCCACCCCATCCCCTTTCTACGTTCATATCATATATAGGGACTCTATTCTTTTCGAGGCGGACAAGTACAGCTGTCTGGTCGTTCGGATGGGACGAAAAACCGAGGTCCCGTGTATATATTGAAGTGGACGTAAAAGATCCCTTTACAGATGGAATTCGATAAAAGAGTAGGCCGTAGTGCCGCTGTCCGGGCAAAATTTCCATCATAGCACAGTGTATGGCGTATGCCCGTCTTCATTAGCCCAGTTCCAAGCAGAACAGAAGGACGTTGAACCCCCATTTCATTTCTTTTCATTTCTTGAAACTAGTTGGGAAGCCCCCCGGTCCCTACCCCATGCCCCGGCTCCTTCAGCTATGTCTACGAGCATGATTTGCTACCATATTATCTTAGCCCGCTGCTTAATATTGAGCGACTTGTTTATTCGACTGAATTATTCGACTGGTTTATTCGACTGAACTTTTCGACTGAATTATTCGACTGGTTTATTCGACTGGATTATTCGACTGAACTAACTGACTGGTTTTATCGACTGGACGAGGCCACATGACAATGTCAAATACCTCATCCCCCCCCACCCCCGCCCCACCCCATCCCCTTTCTTCGTTCATATCATATATAGGGACTATATTCTTTTCGAGGCGGACAAGGACAGCTGTCTAGTCGTTCGGATGGGACGAAAAACCGAGGTCCCGTGTCCACATTGACGTGGTCGTAAAAGATCCCTTGACAGATGGAATTCGATATAAGAGTAGGCCGTAGTGCCGCTGTCCGGGCAAAATTTCACTCATCGCACAGTGTATGGCATATGCCCGTCTTCATTAGCCCAGTTCCAAGCAGAACAGTAGGACGTTAAAACCCCATTTCATTTCTTTTCATTTCTTGAAACTAGTTGGGAAGCCCCCCGGTCTCTACCCCATGCCCCGGCTCCTTCAGCTATGTCTAAGAGCATGATTTGCTACCATATCATCTTAGCCCACTGCCACCGCTGCTTAATATTAAGCGACTTGTTTATTCGACTGAATTATTCGACTGAACTATTCGACTGGTTTATTCGACTGAACTTTTCGACTGAATTATTCGACTGGTTTATTCGACTGGATTATTCGACTGAACTAACTGACTGATTTTATCGACTGGACGAGGCCACATGAAAATTTCAAATACCTCATCCCCCGCCCCACCCCATCCCCTTTCTACGTTCATATCATATATAGGGACTCTATTCTTTTCGAGGCGGACAAGTACAGCTGTCTGGTCGTTCGGATGGGACGAAAAACCGAGGTCCCGTGTATATATTGGAGTGGACGTAAAAGATCCCTTGACAGATGGAATTCGATAAAAGAGTAGGCCGTAGTGCCGCTGTCCGGGCAAAATTTCCATCATAGCACAGTGTATGGCGTATGCCCGTCTTCATTAGCCCAGTTCCAAGCAGAACAGAAGGACGTTGAACCCCCATTTCATTTCTTTTCATTTCTTGAAACTAGTTGGGAAGCCCCCCGGTCCCTACCCCATGCCCCGGCTCCTTCAGCTATGTCTACGAGCATGATTTGCTACCATATTATCTTAGCCCGCTGCTTAATATTGAGCGACTTGTTTATTCGACTGAATTATTCGACTGAACTATTCGACTGGTTTATTCGACTGAATTATTCGACTGGTTTATTCGACTGGATTATTCGACTGAACTAACTGACTGGTTTTATCGACTGGACGAGGCCACATGAAAATGTCAAATACCTTACCCCCCCCCCACCCCCGCCCCACCCCATCCCCTTTCTTCGTTCATATCATATATAGGGACTCTATTCTTTTCGAGGCGGACAAGGACAGCTGTCTAGTCTTTCGGATGGGACGAAAAACCGAGGTCCCGTGTATACATTGGAGTGGACGTAAAAGATCCCTTTGACAGATGGAATTCGATATAAGAGTAGGCCGTAGTGCCGCTGTCCGGGCAAAATTTCCCTCATCGCACAGTGTATGGCGTATGCCCGTCTTCATTAGCCCAGTTCCAAGCAGAACAAAAGGACGTTGAACCCCCATTTCATTTCTTTTCATTTCTTGAAATTAGTTGGGAAGCCCCCCGGTCCCTACCCCATGCCCCCGGCTCCTTCAGCTATGGCTACGAGCATGATTTGCTACTATATTATCTTAGCCCGCTGCCACCGCTGCTTAATATTGAGCGACTTGTTTATTCGACTGAACTTTTCGACTGGTTTATTCGACTGGATTATTCGACTGAACTAACTGATTGATTTTATCGACTGGGCGAGGCCACATGAAAATGTCAAATACTGAAGCGACTAGATACTATGCTGTCATCAGTTTTATGCATCGGACACAGACTTAATTCAAGTTGTTTATATTAGTACGGCCATTGTTTTCAGTTGATGACGTCAGTCGTTGACCCTTAACCCTAGATGACGACCTTACTCGCAAAGAGAGGTCAACACGTTGTTTAGGGTATTGCTATTGGAAGGAAAATCTCAATAAAATTGTGACTTCAACTGTCAGATTTGAACTTGGGGGAAAATAATCAAAATAGACAAAAAACGATGTAATCATATTTGAGTTAGTGCGTTTTTTATTTCAGTCAAACAAACTATTCCCAAATTTTAGCCCAACCATCGACCGAGTTTGTTGACTGGAAATTCTAGTGGTACTTAGGGGTAATTGAATGATTTCGTTTACTATGTCTGGATAATTAGATCTATGTAATCTTCAGTGTTGGAGATTACGGAAGGTGTTCAATGCACATTTTAGAATGGAAGAGCAGATGAAATTTCTTCGCGATAAACATGTTAAGTTTTTCCTTAGAACACTTCAAGTCCTTCCTGCCAGACATGCCACCTTCGATTCTAATAGGTGAGTTAGCAATTATTTGTTTTATAATGATCGGGTTTATCCGTAGCAACAGAAAACGACGTTTTGATTGCTGATATCTTTAGAAAAATTCAGCACAACATGTCTTAATTGACAGGTCTGCTGTTGATCTTTGCAGTTCTCAATATATAAAGGCGAATCTTTGTTTTTAAATTAAAGAAGTCTAGCCTCGACTGACACTGTCAGTGACAGATGATGATTCGTGTTTTATTACCAGTCTACCTGACATCCAGTGAGGATTTCCTGTTATGTTATTACAGCGACAGACCGATGTCATTTCCAGTTGTGGGCTGTGGCAGGGCCACCATTATTATCTCCAATTTATGTCATTCTGTGAAAATACCTGCACACCGGTAGCTTGTATGACACAGAATGGAACTCATGGCAATTATTTCTACATGTTACAGAAGTCAATATTTGTGGAATTATTAATTTGTCTCTAGAATTCTTTTACAGAACGACAGATCACCATCTCTCTATTATTTACTCTAATGCTCTATTTTAGTATTTTCTAGCATTTTATAACACAACAGATATTATCTATTAATTGTTTACAGGAATATTACAGTGTTACATTCAGTGGCCGACTGGACCGTGTGCAAGGTTATCATATCATATGATGTAGCTAGCCTTCTGTGCGGCATTACATGTTGGCCACAGAGGTTGTTCATATAAAAGTAATTCCAGACTATATTACTCTGTATACTATTTGAAATTTGCAAATAAGCTTATAATCCTACGGGCTCAAATGACCTCATCTCAATAGAAGTGAACAAGGCAGCAATTTTCATTTTAAGTTGAAAAGGGAAGTGGTAACTCAAACCAACAGTCTGTCGGGTCTCTTACATAGATGAAAAATGTTGCTTAACGGTAATATTTTCAGTTATGTAAAAGTATTGTCTTGTCGCTACACTAGGGTGATAGGTTTAATTAGTCACGCTGGTTTACACTTATCTTATTTTTAGATGTTACACACATTAATAAACTATGTGATTTTGCAAGGAAAAACTAAAGGGCTAAAGACAAGCATATCAGATTTATCAATGTTTTTAGAGACATTCTTGTAGCTTTGAAAATCTTGAACAAGTGACCCTCCAAAAAGCTGCTGGTGGCAGTATAAAGTTTTTATTCTCTTTTAAATTTAAATTATGTTTCTCATTTATGTTTCAGAATGACCATCGCCTTTTTTGCATTATCAGGACTTGATGTTTTGGATAGTTTGTCATCATTAGATAAAGATAAGGATAATATTATAGACTGGATATATTCTCTTCAACTTCTACCAAATGTTACAGGTATTTGTATAAGCATATATACAGGTGAAAATGTAATTGTGATTTCATTACCTTTTGTCCAGCACCTGACAGACAGGCCATCACTATAGAATTTCTGTGCTACAGTAAATTAGTGTAGACCTACATTTATACTACTTTCCTGTCCATACCAAATTACTTTTGGATAGAGGGGACATCTGACATGTCTTATTCATAAGGGTTATACACGGCGCCAGAGGACTAGGGGAGCAACAATGTAGTCGATCATAGATCTAACTTACTTTTATTTTCAGCTGTCCTAAAACTTTAAACCTCAGTCAAAGAAAGCAGTGTCTTGGACAATTAAAGTATTAATAATTTTCCTGTCTTTTCTTGTACACACAAGAAGATTTATTTATACTTACAATTACATATAATAGCCTTTGTATACAAACAGTACATTATGTTGACTTATTTGCCTTTAAGACATTGTTTTATGAATTTGATCTGTGCCCATCATATATTGCAACAAAAGTGTAATTTCTTATTGCAGAATCTAATTTACATCGCTGTGGTTTTCGAGGGTCTCCTGCCATTGGTAGTCCTTATGACATAGAAAAGGTATGTCATTTCAGTAAAGCCAAGTGCACATTGATTCAAATAAACAAACAGGGCAAAAACAACATTTGTGTAGCTAAGCTTTTTCGTACCAGTGTGGTGCGATAAAAACATTAAATTTCCATTAAGCTGAACAATAAAATCCTTAACACATATTGAATAATTGGTTACCAAAACAAGAGACTGCATTACATTCAGTAGCCCTTAATCATGCCAAAACATTCTATAAAATTATGCCGTAGACCATAACAAATGTTTATTGCAAATCACCGTTGTGAAGTAGAGTTGACAAATCAGGATTTGAATAATTTACAAAAGCAACCAACTTTTCCCGTAATGCGTCGTACTTATGAAAAAAGGCGCAGTACCTACCTTTGTGAGCCTAACACAATTCTTGTCTCAGTCACACAATTAAAGAAATGGGGCACTAGCAAATTTACTCTAAAATATTATAATCCAGTAACAATACTAGTCTAGAAAAGCCCATATTTTCCGAAGAAGGCAGAGGACTATTAAAATGTGTTCGTCCGTCTGTCTGTCCGTCACACTTTTTGGAATACAATAACTCTCCTTCTAATTGAGTTAGAATGTTCAAACTTGGTGTCAGTGTTTATTAGGTCAATGGAGTTCGAAGATGAACATTTTCTGCTTAGGGTAAGCAGAGATAAGCAATTTGATTGGTTGATGATTGGGGACATTATAACTAATTAAGTGAGAGTGATCAAACTTGGTGTATAATTTTATTACATCTATACCTTGACTAAGTTCGATAATGAGCATTTTCTGCTGAGGGTAAGCAGAGCAATAAGCAATTTGATTGGTCGATACTTTGGATCACAATATCTCTCCTAATTGAGGTAGAATGTTCACGCTTGGTGTAGGTGTTTATTAGGTGAATGCCTTGATGGAGTTCGAAGATGAGAATTTTCTGCTATGGGTAAGCAGAGATAAGCAATTTGATTGGTTGATGTTTTGGGACACTATAACTTTAGTTCTAATTAAGTGAGAGTGATGAAACTCGGTGTATAGTTTCATCACATTGATACCTTGACTAAGTTCGGCAATGAACATTTTCTGCAGAGGGTAAGCAGAGCGATAAGCAATTTGTTTGGTCAAGACTTTGGAACACAAAATCTCTCCTTCCAATTGAGGTAGAATGTTCAAACTTAGTGTAGGCGTTGATAAGGTGAATGCATTGATGGAGTTTGATGATGAACATTGTCTGCTTACGCAGAGAATAACGATTTGATTGGTTGAAGCTCTTGGGCGCGATAACTTTGTTTATAATTAAGTGAGGGCGATGAAACTCGTGAGTATAGATTTATTATATCATTACCTTGACTATGTACGATGATGAGAATTTTCTGCTTAGGCTAAGTAGCGATAAGCAATTTGATTGGAACATAACAACTCTGCTTTTAATTGAGATAGAATGTTGTGCTTGATAACGATAAGAGAATACTTGTCGAAACGTCGTGCTATACTTATAAACCAGTGATTGTATTTCCATATAAACTGTGTTGTGTTTTTTAGAATGTTTAAACTTGAAAAAGATGTTCATTAGGTGAATGTCTTTTAAGTTCAATGATTACCATTTCCCGCTAAAGCTAAGCAGAGTTAAGCAAATGACTTTGATTCTATCTGATAGAGAGTGATGAAACTTAGTTTATAGTTGATAATCAGTTTGATTACACGATACTTTTGAAAAAGATCAATGTGCAATTAATTAATTAATATGTGTCATCTATTTATTTTGGGTTTTTGGCGTGGGACATCAGCTTCACAGTTGGCTTGTTTTATATAACTTAGGTAATGATTAGTATAGCCAGCATGTTAATTGAAGTGCGCCGTCAATCCACTTCAGCTTGTATATACAGTGACGTCGCACACCAATCAATGGTATTAAGGCTGTAATCAAAAAATTGAGAAGTGTTTTAGAGGTTCTAGTGTCAGAAGTTCTGACACTTAAACAGTCATACCAAATGATTTAATCAGATTGGTGTGCAATTGGCTAAAGTGTTTATAATAAACACTGGCTTCAAGTACATACAACTTTCATATGGTCATTCATGTTCCTGAAGCAACGACCGCAAGTTTTACAACATCTAGCCGTTGCTTCAATACTCAACAATTCCCGAATTTTTGCGCTCATTGTGTTTAGACGTGACTAATTAGCATTGTCCAATCAGAGGTCGTGGCACATAACACACTGTAAACAAATATGGCGGCCTCCATAGAAAAAGAAATAGACAAGTTTACAGCCTTTTTTGATCAACCATGATTTCCAGCAACCTTGACATTGATCGAACCTTGAACATTGCAACTCGATTGTCACATGTAGACATTTTAGCTAGAAGCGTGAGACTTGATAATCGTAACCATATTTTTAACGAAGGAATCTGATAGGATCACAAGCTGGACTTATACCCAATCGAAATTAGTGCTAAAATATGCGGGGTATTATGTGAAGGGCTTGATAAGATGTATGTAGTTAAGATGAGATCAAGCCTTCTATTGAAGATGATGGTCATTTGAATGGAATGGTACAGGTCACTGATAAAGCTTATGCACCATATTGGTGATGCTCATTGATCCAACTGCATCCCCAGAATATCTTTTTTATACTCCCACATGGAAATGTGGTCGTATATTGCCGTCGCCCTTGTCTGTCCGCCGGTCGGTCCGTCTGTCCATCGTCCACAATTTCTTGTGAACACTCTACAGACTACATTTATCATCTGGAGTTATGGCCCTTGTTTCACTTTTTTGCACCTTGTGAACGCTCTAACGACAAAAGTTATCAACCGATCTGTATGAAATTTATATGCATCATTTAAATTAGTAAAACAATGAAGCCTATTGAATTTTAGCAATTTTCGTTAATTACATCCAGAGTTATGGCCCTTGATTCACTTTGTTGAATCTTGTGAACGCTTTAAATGCTCTAACGACAAAAGTTATCAACCGATCTGTATGAAATTTATATGCATCATTTAAATTTGTAAAACAAAGAAGCCTATTAAATTTCAGCAATTTCCGTTAATTACATAGAGTTATGGCCCTTGTTTCATTTTGTTGAATCTTGTGAACGCTCTAATGACCACAGTTATCATCCGATCTGTTTGAAATTGATATGCATCATTTAAATTAGTGAAAAAAAGAAGCCTATTGAATTTCAGCAATTTCCGTTAATTACGCCGTGAGTTATGGCCCTTGTTACACTTTGTTGTACCTTGTAAATGCTCTAACGACAAAAGTTATTATCCGATCTGTATGAAATTTATGTGCATCATTTAAATTAGTAACGAACAAGCCTATTGAGTTTCAGCAAATTTTCGTTATGACCCTTGATTTACTTTGTTGAACTTTGTGAATGTTCAAACGACAAAAGTTATCATCCGATCTGTATGAAATTTATATGCATTATTTGAATTAGTAAAACGAAAAAGCCTGTTGAATTTGAACAATTTCTGTAGATTACTTCCAGAGTTACGGCCCTTGTTTTAGTTTTTAGAACCTTGTGAACCCTCAAACGACGAAAATTATTATGTATGAAATTGTCTATTAAATTCCCCTAATTACCTACAAAAGAATAGATATGTGACAACCCTTGTCGACTGCTCGGATGATTTAGCTGATGTGGGTGTATGTTTTGTTGCCTGGCAACCTTTATTTTATATCTTAGTACAAATACAGAATAAAAAAAATTTGACCAGAGACAAAAATGATGGCTTAATGTGGGATCAGACCAGGGGAGACATGGGCTGAATTACAAACAGCCATCGGTGTTGGCATCACAAGAGAGGACAAATGAACCCTCATAGTAATATTATATTAGCAATTGCAATTCATATACATAGCTATACCCATTTGTTATCAATCTATTGTAAGAAACTACCAGTAACAATAGTAACTAGACTTGCTTGCAAGGCTGAAGGCTTTCACCATACCCAAGGCGTTACACGGTTGCCGGATGCAAGACAAAGACTATTCTAACACCCCCAAAACACACACTTGCGAAACTCAGATATTGACATGTTCTTTGCATGCGCATTACAAAAGAAGGGAATTGAAAAACAAAGGTGAACAATTCACATCATAATAATCTTAGACGGTAATTGAAAACTCAAAATCCCAAGAAATAACAATTTTAGTAAATTTTCAAGAAAAAATGAGAACAACGTGGTATCTCAATTCGACAGTTATCACATTCGCAATATCCCCAGCTGTACAAAAATATAACTTTTGGACTATTGTACAATGGTTTCATACACCATACCCAGGCGTTACACGAATGCCGGATGCAAGACAGAGACTATCCGCACTCCCAAAAAAACACACACTTGCATAACTGAGATATTCAGACATTCTTCACATGCGCATTACGATAGAAGGAAAGTGAAAAATATAGTTGAACAATTTACAACATAATAACCTTAGATCGATAGAATCGGACAGACGCCGGCAATCTAAATATGCAACTGAAAACTCAAAAATTCCAAGAAATAACAATTTTAGTAAATTGTGAAATTTTAAGAAAAATTGAGAACGACATGGTATCTCAATTCGACAGATATCGCATCCGCAATATCCCAGGCTGTACAAAAATTTACTTTTTCGAAAATCGGTTGGGAATTGACTGAATTACGGCTGATTTTAAATTTTCGTGCACATTAAAGATTTACATCACTTCTCAAAAGTTATAAGTACTAACTGTTAAAAACTTTCATGGGACAAAATCAATATTCAGAACTCTGTCTGTTACTGTTTCAGAGATCTACACGAAATGGAAAGGAATAAAAAAAAACAAAACTGTTTTCCGAATGGGATAAAAAAAAGTATCTTAAATCTAAGATAACTACCACAATTTACATCATACTTACAAGCATTATTTTTCTTTATGTATGAAGTAATGCGACTTTCTTATAAATAGCTGCAGAGGAGCGTTTTATTTTCACTGGTATTAAGTGATGATGTCATGTAGACAAAAATCCTGTCATAATAATTCCAGGGAAAACTGTTACTTGCTAAAATGACTTATTTTCACTCTAGAAGCACCAGTACCAGATTTTGGTTACCAGTAAAACACTCTTAGTTCAAATATTGTCACTTTGAAAGAGAAAGCACTGAAAGTGAATATGCTGTATACTTTGGTAATAGGTACAGATTTTATCCACTCTTCCTGCATTTTTCGCTTAAGTTGATACATCGCATTTTTGAAAATTTTGAAAATTTTTCAGTTTTCACCCCCAAAAATGAGAGCGACAAAGTTTCTAAATCCAACGTTTTTGAACTGCTATGTGCTCAGCAATGTTTTCGGCTATCCAAAAATGTAACTGTCTGAAAAATAGGTTAAGAATTAACAGAATTATGGCCGATTTTCAATTTTCGTGCACGTTAAAGATTTGATGGATTACTGCTATGCGCACAAATTTTATTTTATATTTAAGCGCTAACCCATTTTCCCGACAGAAAATCAAACTTCAGACCTCTATCTCTTATACTTGCTGAGATCTAACTTTCCCCAATAAAAAAAAAATGATAATAATAATCTTATTAATAACAATAGTCTTTCACCAAATGTGAAAGCCTAATGAGACACTGCCTTGTTGATATATGAGATCAAATTATTTATTTAATCATATTTTTTAGTCACAGAAGAATCCTATAAATTATGATAGTGGTCATATAGCTGATACATATACAGCGTTATCTAGTTTATTGATATTAGGTAATGATTTATCTGGAGTCAATAAAAGAGCTATATCAGCTGGTTTACGAGCCTTACAGAAAAAAGATGGGAGGTTAGTAAGATATCGTCAAATAAAATCCAATCTAATTCAAATTATATTACAATTTCATTTCAATTTTAGGATTTGGGAAATTCCTTGGATTGGTTGAACAAATGTTTCAGATGAGTATAACAGTCCTTGAAACTTCATAGGGCAACTCATTGCGAATAAATATTTCTTTGGCACTAAAATGTTATCACAATGGTAAAAAATGATAAACTTCAAAACATAATTACAGCAAATCTATATAAAATCCGTCTTATATGTCATCCACAATGAAATTCAACCTTTAGCGTATTAAGAAAACACACCGGAAAGACCTTATTTCAATGCTGGTTTCGAGATACATGCTGTCATCATCAGACAAGACAATATTACAACTCACAATGGAATTTATATTGACTGTTATTTACTGATGGTGACATATGCTAAACAGGATATATATCTATATGATCACACAAGTGTATGGACATTTATCAATCATAATGTTTAATTTAGTTTGATTTTAGTTATTGCCGCAATAGTGACCTCACTTTTAAAAAAGACAGGAATTACCAGTCACTCAGTGGAGCTTATCAAAGGGTGTTATCTTATTACATCAAAGATATTTTCTTTGGATTTTGCATCATTTGAAATGAAAAAAGCTATCGTCAGACTCCGAATTTGTTAGGCTGTTTTGATTTTTTTCATTTAATACTATTTAAATGTTCTTTTATTGGTGTTGAATGAACAAAAACATCAGGTGATTATCGTGGGATTGTAAACCATATACACTAGAAAACAAATTGCTTTATATTATGAGACCTTGTGTATAATGGTGTATTTTTTGTAGTTTCTGTGCTGTACCAGAAGGTAGTGAGAATGATATGCGGTTTGTGTTCTGTGCTTGTTGTATATGTTATATTATCAATGATTGGTCTGGTATGGATAAAGATAGAGTTGTAGATTATATCAAAAATAGTTTGGTAAGTTGTCTATATTATGAAGGCTATTAAAGATACATTATGAGAGATTCGATAACGAGTTGGCAGTTCTCATTATAATAGTTAAAAACTAGATAATGTAAAGGCAATTTGCTGAAAATTTCATTCAAATTGATCCACTATGAACCGAGAACTAAGCGGTTGAAATTTCCGGCTAGCCTTGATCATCATTACTAAAGTCAGTAGAATAAACAGCATAGTCTGGATTATCCATTTAATTGTTAATCGTAAAGCGGCTCATAATCCACTAAAGATCGCAGGCTAGCGATGCCATCTAGAGTTGATTATGGTCTGGATAGGTTAATTAATGTCTAATTAATAATTTAGATAACATTTCAGGCCTAAAGAAAGACCTGCAATAGACAGATTTAGCTCTTGCATAATGTATGTTTAATTAAACATTGCAAATATGCTTTCCTTTAAATTTTAAGTATTCTCTCAAGAACTGCACTAGTCCTTATGTTTAGTCACAAAATAAATAGTGTTTGTCATCTTGCTATCGGTGTCATCAATATAATGCCACTAGATAAAGGAAAGGTTGTGCGAACCTGAATGTAACATTGTATGGCTATTTACAATCTATATCCTTGGTTCAGTTACCCTGTTTTAGTGTAAGCTTACAGTTTGGTTTTGTGGTCATGTTGGCCCGTCTCATTGATTATTGTTGTCTCCATGTTTTGGTATTTTTTGTTTACATTTGTTTAATTTATATACTTTAGACATACGAAGGAGCTATTGGTCAGGGTCCAGGATTAGAGGCACATGGTAAATTATAACACTTTCGTATTTATGTTTTTATAGTATAATAATGATAATGTCCTTTTATATACAGTAGCACCAAATTCACAAAATGTCCTCATAGCGCATACAAAACTATATAAAAATGCTTTTGTTCATTTTTGTAATGAATTTTGAGATTTTAATTTAGAATGACAAAGAAGTCGAAAAACAAAGTTTAACTGGGAGTGAATTCCATCTTGCATCTTTCCACAGCAGCAAATTTTTAATCAATTTCACATGATTGACAGGTACTACAAAGGGTTTGTAACACTGCAATTTTTTAATCAGAACAATGATATCATATGTTTAGGAAAAATACCTTATCTGTAAGATATTTTGTTCATTCAAAAAAAAGCCTTGTTTTCAAAATAAAGAAGTGTATGTCCAGTGATTGATTCACAAAATTCCTGTTCACTCCATTCGATTTATTTAAATAGGTGGACCAACATTTTGTGCTGTAGCATCTTTAACTTTAATGGGCAGGTTAAATTCTACATTTACACCAACGGAGATTAGAAAATTAAGAAGATGGTGCATATCTCGTCAATTAACAGGTTTTAATGGTCGTCCTAATAAAATTGTTGATACATGTTATTCATTTTGGGTTGGAGCTACATTAAAGGTTAGTCACATTGAATTTATTTTACAAAATTTATATTAGGAATCCAGTCTTTTTGCTGAAAAATTATTTTCTTTGAAGATAAAAGAATGTGTCAAGGACTATGAGGGTTACATATATATGGAATCAGTCTTTTCAAGCTGCTAAAATTTATGATGAATATTGAATTTTTGCATAAATTGTTCATTGTGCTTAAAGCCTCAATGTACTAGACTGCCAATTCAAATTGAACAAAAATAAGGAGGTTTTTTAGATAGGAATCTGGAACTCATACTTTTCTGGAAATGAATTATTTTTATTATAAAAACATCAGATAATGATCTTAGAGAAAATCGAGATGGCAGCATGAAATAATGGGAACTTTAAGTGGCCATAACTTCCATTTAGATTGATCATTTTGATTAATTGTTAGACCAATACTCTTTTATAATTAGACTATTATTTTATTGTGTCTGATTTGAAAATCTTTATCAATGTCTTTTATTGTGGAATATTGTGTATTTAATGTATATTGTTATTTCAGTTATTAGATATATTTGAATTAGCAGATGCTGATTTTAATAGAAGTTACATTTTACAAACACAATCCGATATTACTGGTGGATTTGCTAAGTGGCCTCAAACTTCTCCAGGTAATTAAGGGGTTGTTTTTAAATAAGAAAACAATGTATACTGAAAACAGACAATATGTTTCTTCCAAATTCAACAAGATATTGGTACATTGCAAGGATTCGTGTCACCTGCCTATCTATGAATTCTTTGTTGATTGTACATAGGTGTGAAAACCAGTTATTCATATTAAAAATTGTGTTAGTCTCAAAAAGATTTTGTTGGATGGTGTTCATTTCATGAACATACAACAAACTGAACAGGGACAGATATCTGGAGGAAAAAAACGGATAAGATCTTATTTGAAATTACACCATTTGATGTGTTATAACGTTTGATCGATAACTTTATAGATTAATAATTTATATTTTTAGATGCACTTCATGCCTATTTTGGTGTATGTGGTTTGTCTCTATTGGGTGAACCCGGCCTTGTTAATCTCCATCCAGCTCTAAATATCAGCCAACGTGCCTCTGATCATCTTCATCTTCTTCATCAGAAGTGGAAACAAGAATCATGATCTGGTTTTTATTTGCTACAATATAATTTTCATCCCACCTACTATCAGTTTTCATAAATTTATAAATATTTGGACTTATGAATAACTGTGATATTAATTGGTTCAACATTTTAAAAGCTGAGCATACAAATTAATAAAGTTTTCTTTCCATATAGTTGTTGAAACGACCAAACAAATTAAAGTATTCAGTTAATTAGATTTTATATTTTCAACAGTTGACACAATATGCCAAAATTGAATTTTATAAATTAACCTACGCAAATGGACAAGTAATTGTAAAGAGATTGTTCCATCCCTAATGTAAAATACCATATTTAAATCAACCCAAATGAGTACTTTATTTTGATCTAAATCGAAGAGTTTTAGCGCCTGTAAGTTATTTTTAATTTGTTTTCATTGCATTGTCACGTTAAAGAACAATATTTGTTTGATATATGATAAAATGGTTTTAACACATTCTAAATATAATTTTAAAAAAGAAATCTTTACCATGATTTAAAGTTATTGTTAATTCCAGTGAAGTCAATTCTTCTTATGAATTCATGGTTTCAATATCCACTCACACCAACTCTTTATTTTCATGTAAATTATCAGTGATCTGTTAGTATAGCTATTACAGCTCTCCACTTCAGTATGTGATCGTAACAGATTTCATTTATTTGCATCACTTCCCAAATTTTTAAGCTGATCTCAAAGATCAACAATAGCAAAATTTTCTGTTAAAATTATATTTGGAATGTGTTTAACCATTTCTATCACATATGTAATATCGGTGGACGCCAACACTGACATTCTGTCAGAAATGACTGAGAAAACTTTTCTCAAAAAATCATCCATTAAATGGCCAATATTCTAGACTAAAGAGCAATTATAGACTTTTAGTCCATACACATTAAAAATTAGTCTTACCAGTCCAAAGTTCACATTAGTTTGTATTGATTTCATGCCACCACCCTTGCAGTGTTAAAATGGCTATTAAATGATTGAAGGATAGCTTGAAGATGTTTTAATTTTCTAAACTATGATCTAAAGAACTGTTGATTGTGTATGATCTTAAACTTATTATTATGGCATGTTTTGGAATGGAAACTAGTGTTAAGAATATAAACAATGTGTTATTATTGTATAGCTGTATTAATTAATGTGGATTATAATATATCTAATCTATATTACACAAAGTTTCATAACCACATTTTCTCATTCCATATCATTTGATGTGCTATTGTAAATCTTTCATGTACAAGCTCAAAGATCTGGAACCTATTTCACAGAAATTAAAATCTCTTACTCCTTTGAAATCACCCTATTGCCACAGTACATTTTGGTTTGAAGCGTATTGTTTTTAGCATGTGCATTGATCAAAGATCATGGCTTATGTCTATGTGTATCCATCAAAGGGTAAAATTGACAATTAAAGTCTCTGATTGCCAGTTAAGGGGTTGTTAATCCCTTGTAAACTACAGTATTGTCAAAGTTGAATCTCTAAAAGTAATATGCGTCCAAATTCTGTTCAGTATTGTCAAAGTTGAATCTCTAAAAGTAATATGCGTCCAAATTCTGTTCAGTATTTCAGAGATGAATTAAAAAAATATATTTCAAAACAAGACAGTAACAAATATAGCCGTTGCTAAAAACTTTGAATGAGTCTGTTTTTAATCTGATTGAATCTACCTGGGAGATTGTCTATCATTTTCTTAAATTTAAAATAAATGAATTTGAGTACGTTTTTAGCAAGTCTTGAAAACTATATATTGTCTGAAAAATGAAAATGGCAATCAGCGGCTGAAGATTCAAAGGGAGATAGATACCTTAAATTACTGATTTTAAGAAACTTAACGCTAATAATGAACTAAGTAAGAGTTTTAAGAGATTTTAGTACTGTTTTAGTACTTTCAGAGACTTTCTTTATTAACAATAACATCTTTTTCTATCTCTCCATACATTTAAATGGCGAGACAGGAATATTTAACAACGATGTAAGATGCACAAAAACACATGATATATGGTTATGTACTTTTCTGTATTAATTAGTGCACAGCAAATAACCAATAAAATAATTGATTGTCTAGCAATTTTACTAGAGCTGTTTAACATGATACATGTACTTAAAAGTTTTACAATAAACATTTTTGTTTCAAGGTCTATTTCATAATCGAAATTTTATAATATCAATGAATTTTTAGTTATATTGTATAAAATGTCTTATAAACAATTGAGTGCCTGCTATCATTGTGATTTTCTATATATTATATATTCACGGTAGATTATTAATACCTAATTTGTAAATATTAAGAGAAAATATGACAGAATGGAATATTAAAAATGAATTTAAATTGTTTAATTGAATAAGGTTGTTTTCTATGCTGTTGTGTTGTATTTTTATTTATTATTGGCCTGATGTTAAACCCCATTTCATTTCATTTCAAATTACTGTCCGGGATTACTTTTATATTTGTAAATTAGGACTCTGTTTGAGTTACCTCCCTTACACTGTTTGGTCAACTTGCCATATGAACGTAAAGGCTTGAAATTTGTTAATCAGCAGTTTACAAAATACTCAAAAACATGAAAGACAGTCTAAATAACAGGTTTTGGATTTTTTTTAAATATTCAATTGTTGAGGAGTTGTTGAACCATATTTTCGCTCCCTCCGAACTCCAAGGTAGTTATTGGTGTGATATTTCAATAATATATCGCGATAATTTGATAAATGTATCGCGATAATTTGATACATATATCACGATAATTTGACAGTTATATCACGATAATTTGATAAATATATCATGATAATTTGATAAATATATTGTGATAATTTATTAAATGTATCTAACATATTAACTGATGAGTGAATAACCAGGTTTTTCCTGTCATTCATAAAACAATATCTGTTCAATAAGAACAAGTCAAATGACACTTTTTAATGATAAATCTTGTTGATAGGTTCCAGATAAATGCCAATATTGTATTGAGTGTTGAATGTGGAAGGCACAAATAAATGTAAAAGGTTAAAATGAGCATCATGATGTTTTTCCACTAATGATAATAGAGGTTGAGTTAATGAAAACCTTAATGTTTGCCAGGTACCAGGTTTTGGTAAACAGTTGTGTATTACAGTAGAATATAAATAATATAGTTTCATCTGTAATTATAAAATGATTTACAGAGTAAGGTACTTCGGTTCTCACCCAATCTGATTAAAATCAGATGTCAATTAATTCACGTTTTATTTTTTGATGTTCTACATTAATATCCAACATGTTTTATTTCAAGACGGTGTTTAGATAACATGAACTTATAGTCTTATCAAATTATTAGGATTAGTATACAGAGCTGCATATTGTTTATTGGGTGATAATCATCTTGAATAGGATTAAATTGTGATGATAGAAAGTTTGTTAAGATACAAAGTTTGTTAAGATACAAAGTTTAAGATACAGTCCAGTGCAAAAAAAATCATAAAAAATAAAAGGAACAAAATTGTTGTCTAGTTTTTGGCTGGTCGTCATCCTGGATGTTAGAAAATTGCTCCACTCTGAACCGAGATATTAGCTTTTGAATTTTAGGCTAGCATCGATCATTGTTACTAAAGTCAATACAATAAAAAACAAAGTCTTGATTATCCATTTTTACGTTTAATTATTTTTCAAATATGTATTCCAATCTGCTAAATGTCGCAGGCTAGCGATGACATCAAGAGTTGATTATGGTTTGGATAAGTTAATTAATGTCTAATTAATAATTTAGATAACATTTCAGGCCTAAAGAAATACCTGCAATAGGCAGATTCAGCTCTTGCATAATGTATGCTTAAATGATATGAAACTATACTTTTATTTTCTAGACAAAAGTACTGCTTTCTTTTTTATTTAAAAGCCAAATATAAGAAATTAATATTTTCAATAACAATTGCACAGATAAAATTATCAAAAGGGCTATAATTAAGCATCATTTACAAATTATTTACTTTGTAAATTAGTTGTCTCATTGTTTATCACATGTATATAGTAATATACAGTTTATTAATAGATTTATTATGTATATTTTTAATTATTTTTATTTAGAATTTGTTTAATTTTATTGTACTTATTTAAACACTATATTTACCCAATGGTATGATAAACTATTTATAATATAAGATCTATCACTAAGACATAATTTGGCTGGAAATAAGTATAAAATGTCATTTTAACTGTCTGTGCACCAAAAATACTGAAAATAGCCATTCCTTTTGTGACTGACAACATCCATTAGTTTCATTTTATGTACAGTATTGCTTAGTTTTTTTTAAAAAAAAAACAAACTGGAATTACATTTATTTCATATGGTACATGTATATGCTTAAGGTACTTGTTTGTTGAATTTGGCAGGAAATGTACAAATTTTTATTTTTGTTTATGTTCATCCAGCTATCTGCAGCATCATAAATTATAGCCATGTTTTTTACCACATTTCTCATGTCACAACATAAAGTGGCAAAGAATATGTATATATAAACATCAATGAACAGTGTCACCACTACAGACATGTTCAGTCTTAAAAGATTGCTCAAATTAGCTACCATTCCCTACCTTTCTCAATCTGGACATTAACAAATTGATTATAAATAAGTGAGTGATCAAATACATGCACTATAGATCTTGCTATCTATGCAAGCAAGTCATGGCTTCTATCCAAGGTTTGTATTTGACAAGGAGTAGGGTCACCTACCTAACTGTGTGTGTTTCTGCTGGGTGCTGTATTCTATTTATTAAAATATGTTAGTCCCAAAATGAAATGGTTAGTGTTGAATGGATGTTAAGTGTCTATTTCTCTCCCTTTGTCACATACATTCTAGGGATTAAACTCATTGATTGCCCAGGCAAGAGTCCTTTGATACAGTTTAAACATAAAATAAATTGAGATTCGAATTCTAATTATAAATTAATTATAAAATACAATTTGAATATTTGTGTGGAGCCAATCTTCAGTAGGGTATATTTTCTGAATATTTATGCCCAATTATTCGCTGAGGATACTAGGCCTCAAAGCGACATAAAAATTCTAGAATTCTGGATAGTATATAAGATACATGTACATACTGATGGAATACGATCATAATGAGGGAAATATATTTCCACTCAATCAACCAGTTGGAATTCGGAATAGAAAATGTCTGGCCTATTTCACTAATGACTTTGTGTAATTTCTAAGCCATATGCTTTCATTTCTTATTCGTATTCTCAGGAGTCTTCAATTTTCTTTGTTTCTTTTGATAAATTACTGTAGGTTGTTGGCTTAGTACAATCACAACCTAGACTATTACATTCAGAGTTGTATCTGTATAACTATTGTACATTAATCATCATTTACTTTGTAATTAAAAGACTTTTTCTGAACTGAATAAATGTAAATATTTTTCAATATCCATTTGAATTTATTGATTTGTTTTTTACAACAAAATGAATCCTGCAGGTGTTTGCAAACACTTTTTTTCGTTTCCATAGAGATCTTCACAGTTTGTGTTTTTATGAACAATAAACTAATTATAAGAAGGTCACAATCTAGTTTAAGTGTCGTATTTACCACAACGATTTGCCAAATCGATTATGCAAATCTTCCAACTTGCTTGCCTGCCGGATTGACGATTCGATTTCCAAGATGGCGTCACCCAACAAGGGACACGACGTGCCCGACGTTAGATCATTTTCTTTTGAAATCCACTTTAAAATATGAATATTATGGACATTCCTAATAAAAATAAGGGGCATTTGGGGACAGTCAACTGGTACAACTTTTCGTTTTTATTTTTGGGCGGTGTCGCCAAGAACATAATAAAGAAAAGTGAATTTTTTAACATTTTTCCTTCAATTCTTCAGTCTTCAGCCATCTTGCGAGGCAACTCATCGCGTTTACGAGAACCGATTCGAATACCAACTCGAGACCTATGTCTTTGTACAAAACGAGATAGGTAATCGAAACTGATTTGTTTTCTCGTAAAAACGCCTTATGTCACTATATATTTGTCACCGATCTTATTTTATTTTTACTTACCACCTTTTCGACTTTTGCATTTTGTCTCAAAACCTTGTAAACGCTTTACTGGTCAGAGTTTTTTTTAGATTTTTTTATCCAAACTTGGTTGGATTGTTAATTTTGTCATATGGTGGAATCCTACTGAAATTGCACATAAATTTTACTTGGAATTACTGCCTGTCACTGAAAAGAGTTTTTACTTTTTTTATCCAAACTTGCTGAGATTGTTCTACTAGTCATTGGTAAAACCTAATTAACACTCTAGAAGAGGATTGTTTGTTTTGCAGGGGTGGGGGTTGTAAATTATTAAAATACAGTCAAGGATATGTTCATACAGATAAAGCTTATTAAGTTTTGGGAGTAATGTCATTGAAACTTTTACATATGGAGTTAGTGTTCTTTCTTACATAACAAAACTGTGACAACCTTAGCCATTTTTGGAATGTTGCTGATAAGTGTATAATCATTGCCTGGCAACACTTGTTTTCTAACACAGAACCTTACCTGAACTCTAACTAGTAGCTAGTAGTATGTGCACTACAGGTAATGTTAATGGTTGATTCTGGTATTTAGCCATAGGAGATTACTTTTGACAGACATTTATAAAAGTATTTTTTTTCATTACAAAACCTGTCCCCTCTTCATTAGTGGTTTTGCAGTCAAAACTAAAAAAATCACTTAGGCACAGCTATAGTAAAGCATGATTTAACCACTTGCAAACCACAATATTGTGAAAAATGCAAATCAGGCAAATCAAATGTTTCAAGGCTTGATTGAACACAGATGGTAAGACCTCTGCATTGGCAGATAGTAATAACATCTTCTCAAGATTAAATTGCATTTTTGTTTGTTTGCTGAATGTTGTGTGTTATAGGTTTCATGATATCACTATGAATGTCAACTAATAAAATATAGGTATTCATTGGTCTAGACAAAATGTTTTCACCTACCCATGTTCAAATTTAAACTGCCAAAAGCTTTTTTTTTTTTACTTGTACTAAAATGTATGCATCGTACAGTGGTTGTTAACATAGTCCGAAATTCAGCCACACTTTCCTGGTCTCCCTTGAGATACCAGAGAGAGAGAGTGTGAAATGGAGTTTAACAACCACTTGACACAAACTAGGTCATTTTGGGACTAACATATGGTTCAATTTTATTTCAATATCTGCTTGCGTGTAGGGGTCTTTAGCAGTGGGAGGAAACCGGAGGTCCCGGAGAAAACCCACAAGGCTGAACAGGCGACCCTACTCCTTGACATGTACAGCTGGGAATCAAAACCATGCCAGTTGACTCAATGAAAGATCTTATAATACAAAGTGGACCACTAACCATTCAGCCATCCAACTCCCCTCCTTGAGATACCACTTCTGCTTTGTGCTGATGGACAAATATACAAGATACCCAGTTTAGAATATTTAAAGTGGGTTTCGAGCAGTGCTATAATTCTGATTTTTCATAAAATTATAACCCTGCCCATTCAACTTGTATGCTTTTACACAGAACACAAATAGCATTGATGTTGAAGCTAGGTGGATGACATCATGCCAAAAGTGAACCAGGCTGAATCGGTTTTTTAACCTCATGAAAACCATAAGAGCCACACATGTTGATGATATTCGTTGGAAAGAATCAAACACTAAGTTGCCAATGCCATTAAGACTGTACAAATAGGGGCAGCTTAAGGGAAAGGCCACTATATGTGCCCCAGTCCAAAGAGTTCCATCATTTTCAAATTCTCTTCCTCCAGCGTTGAAAAATGTTATGCTTTGTGGAACATGCTAGAGTATCTAAGCCATGGAACATGTTTGACGCTGGATGAGCAATATGACAATGAAGTTTAAAATCTGAACATGAAGGTTCATGTGAAAAAACCATTGCGAGCCAATAGCGTTGAAATCTGCATTAAACCAAGCAAAAGCATGTCATTCCATCCCCTCCAGTAAATCCCTGAGTGAGAATAAACGTAGTTCAAACACACAATAGCTGTGTCGTCTTTAATAAGTACTGCTATGCTGCAGCAACCCCACAACTGATAAGATCCTGAAGAATCCTGAAAAACCCACACCAAGATCGGATGTGAGACTGAACTTGTAAACATCCCAGACATCTGATCCAAAGTACACCACCTCGAAACTCTCTACAGCCCACCCCTCACTATAGTCATTTTAAGATATATAAAAGAAACAAGAAGACAAATGTGGCTTTTTGATGTTTTAATAATACGATTCAGATTGAACTGTTACTTGGTCAACAGCAATACACTACAACGCTCATTATATACACAGGAAGCAAGACGGTGCCATTATACCATAATATATTATATTTGGAGAGGGAGAGGGGAAATACGGGGGAAAGGGAGTGCACCGTAGTGTAGTGATAAGAGGGGGAGCTGGCTGTCTTAAATGACCTCAACAATACAAAACTTCATCAATGAACGTTTACAAATATTCTTTGTCTACAAAAAATTTCTACAACTTGAAATAATGCATGTACATAATTTTACAAGGCTTAGTAGTTTCACATGGTTGTATTATCCCTGAATAACAGATCTAGGCATAATAAAATATTTCATCTCTCTCTTTTTAATGAAAATCATCACAAGTTCGTTCCAAATAATTCACGTCAAACTATATATTGATCAACCTAAAAAAATTTCAAAAATAAATATACATGATCTTAATTAACACTATGTAATTAAATTTCTGTAAAAATACATAAATTCTAATCAAATCTCTAGGCTTAATTCTAATACAGCTTATTAAAGCGAGCAGAAATTATCTAAAAGATGTACTGTCCAATATAATGAGATCTTTTATGTGGATATCATGATGAGTTTTCTCCGTGGTTCCTCTACTACTGACCGAATAACACACATGGGAATTATTGATTGCCAATAACGACTTGTAAGGTACAGATGTGTTTCTTAGTGTGTGTGTCTTGTAGATTTATATACCATCAAGATGTTGGGGTATTGTGTTTGTGGACAATACATCTTTGAGTCAACATGACAGCCTACATATGTACTAATTAAAAACAATCTTTAGTGTCACGTCTTGAGTATCAAATATACTCTATGTCTGACTAATATCTAGCAATACATTTCCATGGTAACAGAGAAACAATACATTAGTGAGACAATGGTAGGCAAGAATTGATCAAACTGGCAGACTACATCCACAAAACCTATTCCAATATCAATGTCATTCAAATTTTGAAAACTTTATTGAAATGATGAACAACTTTTTTCCCCCATTTAGAAATGTAAATATATTAATATTAACACAAGAAATAGCCTACGCATTGAATGATATAAATTACAGTTCTCTTACTTGTTTATTTCCATCTATTTGTTCAATATTTGTATTCAGTGTCCAGTCCTGTAAAAAAGACAATGTTTTTATTGTCTTTTGTGACAAAAGGGCCATAAAAGTGAGGCTATCAATCACTAAGATAGATAGGTATAAAAAGGTTATAGTGAGTAATAATACACTTACTAACACCTACACCCTAGGCCAATTACAGCATTATCGCCAATATCATTTACACATAAACAAATAAAACTAAACAACAAACAAATAAGCCGTCTGCCAGTCAAATAAATTATAAGTTAGATTTTTTAAGAATACAAAATAATGAATACAAGCATTGTGGTCATAGAGTCACACATTACAAAATATATTATAATATATCTATACCGTCTGGGTGATCTAGTGTTGTGTATCGGTAATCAGGTCTGGATTACCCAGTCTGTCGAGGCTCATACTACATGCAAAGAAATGTCTACAGCCTTATTAATGAATATGAAATATGTAAGTGTGATTGCGTGATGGGTGATACAATTATCATCACAATAATTTACTTTGGCAACAAATATTCCTACAGTCGCAAAAAAAGTATATTACAAAGAAATATGCAACAATAAGATTACAAGTTCCAATTACAAAATAAAACTATTTTATTAGACAACAATTCACTACAATAAATTATATGGATAAACATTCCGCAAGATTCTGTTAAAATTTGAAAACTGTTAAAAATTCATTTGATTTGTATATTTGGGGCCTTTTTTGACTTATTATAATTTTCAAAATATTTTGTGTTTCTTATCTCCATTAAATATCACAGCAGATTTCTTAACCTTGCAGAATCAATAATAAATTATTTTTTTCTTTTTAATTTAATTTACAACAAGATTTTTCTAAAATGTTGCAAACTTTTTATAGAATTGTAATATTCATTAATCAATAATGAAGATGCTCATTATAAAACTTACCGTGATGATTAAATTATTGGTATAATATTAACAATGAAATTATTAATTAAGTAATTGGGTTAATTGATTTTTGTTAGTTTGACTTAACGCCTTGCCTTATATTAACTATTGCTGTGATAACCGGGTCTACGAGATTAAAAAATAAAGTCGTCTGCAATGAGTTATTCCCCTTTTGTAACCAAATACAGTTGTATTTTCTCCAATATCAACATATATTAATACAATTGTATATAAGTAAAATCTATACATATTATATAATAACTTCAATTCATTAACATGGGCTTACAAAAATACACAATGTACATAATATATATATATTTATATAATTCTTTTGTGTCAATAGATAAAACATGAGAGATATGTACAAAAATTACAAAACAGGGAGTATAACACCATACTTCTACATAAGATGTCATCAAACATTTAATTCATTGTAAATCCACATTTGAATATATGTTCAAATTATATCTACAACACAATTAAAATTTTATTACTTCATGCTGCCAAATCAAAAACTGATAGCAATTCAAGTTAATTTTCTTCGTTTATTTATAAAATGAATGATAAATCATTTTTCTCAGAGACATTTATTTGCCCTTAAAATAAAATGTGTAAGAAATAAATAGTATATGTTTAAATATTCTGGTGTGGTGGTAATATACCATAACGATGTAGCACACATTTCACCTAGATGAGGAAGGTTTAGTCTATATCTAGTACCACAGAGAAATTTACATGATTTGTACAACTGTTCAGTTTGTTTTCTTTTTCGTTGACGACAATGTCTGTCTAATGCAAACGTAATGGGACCGTTTCCATGCAACCGTTGAAAACACACACATGGAGAAAGGGCCTAAAACTGTTAGCTCTCGCAGTCCTATCACTAACAGGATGTTTTCACCTTTTTTACCCTTCAAATGCCAACCATGTTAAGACAGATTTTGAAAATAATCTATAAATAAGATCTAGGAAATTATCATAAATTCTCCCAAAACATGCCAGCCTAACCTCCTATATGTTTTGGTTTTTTTTGAGTAAAGATTAGATTCAATGACAAAGATTATATTCAATGACAACGCCAGGTCACTGACGGCAAAAGATGAAAGAGATATACAATCATCTCAGGTAAAAACAAAATAAATGTGCCTATAGGCATTTTTGTTTATGTCTTTCAAACTTGATTAGTTATTCATACAAACTGATGATCAAAACATGGTGTAATTTTATAGCATTATTTCATGGTGTAATTTTATAGCATTATTTCATGTTAAAAAAAAAAAAGATGTATATTATCAAAGAGAGAAAAAATTAACATGAATTGCTGACTCTCCTTGATTCTGAGGCAGTTGTATCGAAAATCACAGAATGATGGCATTCACAAATTATGTAATTAAAAATTATACTCAAATTAAATTAAAAGTTCAATAAAACCGACCAATTAAAAAGAACAACAGAAGTAATAAATAAAGAAGCTTAGCAATAATTAGTAATTGAATAAAATTAAATAAGTTAAGAAATAGCTCAAAAACACCATTATATATAAATCTGGTATACATATTATATATCATACAACAAAAGCCATCCATTGCACTTCATATTTGGCTAAAATTAATTCTGTAAGTTATCAAATAAACAGATCCCTTTTAAAAACAGAGATTTTATTGTCTAAAACTAAAATGAAATTATTCTAAAATTGTGGATAATTTACACCGAAAACCTAGCTACTCTTTTGAAACAGTCTTAACTAATTCAACAATAATAATAGCACTTAACATGTCAGTGCTGTAAACATACAACTGTGTAGTGGGGGGGTGATATAGTGTAATATTAATACGAAGAACAATAATTATTGTTTTCCATCTAATTTAACCAAACTAATGACAACAGAACAATATGATAGTGACCGATATATCTATATATATAACCAGAGAAATATTCATGTGCACAATTTGATTTTTATTAACAACAATACAAATTGCTAATCATAGCACTGTGTTCCTCGCATCTGTTCACATCTCCTAAAAATCAGGGAGTTAATCCAATAACTATCGGCCGCAAATAGCCAAAAATACACCTTAACAAACAATTCACCAGCACTTTCAAATGATAAAGGCGTCAAACATTGTCCGTCCATAAATAAAAGGTCCAAAAACAATTAACATTAGTATAAAGAGGAATCGGTGATTCCTTATAGCACAATATAGTCACATGGCGCAGGCTATTTATATCTATATACAATTCTTGCCTGACATCACTCCAAGGCATCCCGGGCTGCGCCCCTCGACTTATTTTACCATATATGGTAAGGAGATTAAATTAAAAGTAGAGTTCAACTGGAGCCGTGCTTGCTTTTAAGTCGTCCAGGCTTTTATTCGCGAGCGTTTCATCAGTGGGCCATCGTAGTCTTGGATATGATTATGTATGTTGACCGGTGACGAGCTGTTGCTATGGGAGTGCGAGATATGTCCAGGTGACAGATGACCTGGTCCGCTTGATGGCGGCCGCAACATGTGATGACTAGAGGGAGTAGTAGTTTCTCTTGGTGGCGATATGGGTTCACTTTTAATATTCATAGCACTCATTGTGTTAAGGGCCATAGGTGAAACATTTCCAGAGCTGATTCCATGTGAAATTGATCTAAAAAATAGAAAATTTTAAAATCCATGAACAACAGTATTAATACTAATAGACATACTTCTCAATATAAAAATAAGTGACATAATTTTTCTTAAAAAAGTTTCTAAAAATAGTCTCCTTGTTTAAAATGATTAATACTGACCCAAGTAAAAAAAATATAAGTCATGGATGAAAAACTTTAATTTCAAAAACGACATATAAATCTTGTAAGAAAATAGTTTATTTAACATGTACATATACATATTTTAATGTCACATTAAATATTTTGAAGGGTAAAATGTTTCCGCTCTATGTCATTATATAAAACTGTGAAATCATTTCATTGGTTGGATCCACTTTTAATTTAAATTTGATAAGCATGGAGGAAATTTGTCTGGCAGTGTCACAGTAGAAGACAGAATATGATACATGTGTATTCATATTTATTGCATCATGTCATGACATGTCATGTCATATATAACGCTATCACATCAATTCCCAGTTTTCCCACCTGTTTTAAACTTGTACTAAGTAAATTGTACATTATCAGAAATTATCATTCACTTGTTTACAAACATTTTCGATCTATGTACTGTCAAATATTTTGTAATTGATAAGATGGAATATTTATCATTTAGTGAGGAGAGAGAACAGAATATTTAACATAAGTGTCAAAATAGAATAGGATATTATTCATCCTGTCAACAAAGAATTATATATCAAGATTTACAAGGAATTTTCTGTGGGTTGAATTAAAATATAACATTTAGAGTGTTGAGGTAAAATATATTTGCCTTGGTGTACACAGGAATATTTTCCAAGCACACACAAATTCCCCAAGTACAAAGTAAATCTAAAAGTAGATATTTGGGAGACAGAGAAAAATATTTACCCTGAGTGTGGAGAGAGTCCACCAGGATGACCTGGACCAGACATCATACCCTGACTACCAGACCAATGATGATAATTACCAGCATCAGCAGCAGTACTCATTGGAAAGTTATCTATAAAACATTCAACAATATACTTACAACAAATCACAAACATGGTTCAATTATTTTCAACTATTAGACAATAAATTCAAGTGTTAATCTATCAGACATATAATTTGTTTATAATTATTTTTAAAAGGACTCACATTATCAACAGAAATCATGTTGGAAGTCTTGAAATCACAAAATCACTTTAATATTTAATAATATTGATATCTTTAAATAAAATTAATATTGATAAATATACTGAAATATTTCTCAAGTGAAACAATTAAATAAAAATTCACGAAAAGGGTTATGAGGTAAGATAAAGCCCAACTATCTACGTCATCACAATATTTAAATAATAAAACTTACTTTGAAGATATGAGGAGGGAAGAGCGGACGGAGGGTAGTTTGACATGCCTACAGAACTGGGAGCCATTGATACAACTGGGGGTGCTAGAGAAGAGTTCATAGATCGACCGTGTCCCTAAAAACAAACAACAATACTTATAATATAATACATATATATTTACTACTAGAGACATAAGATATTGGCACACTGTAAACTGAAACAGTCTCAAATCTATGTTTGTTTGGTTTTTTTATAAACAAATATTGGGAATTGGGGAACAGGCATAACTTATATTAAACACCTATCCTTGTCAGATGAGATACCCGAATTTACCTTTCATAAATATACAACGTACGTACAAGTGAAAATAAAATTACAGAGTACTTTATTTGCCCAAATTTTGAAATTTGGTGTTATAGTTGTCCCTGGAACTTCTGGTGATTTCGAAATACGAGTATTATATCACATGGTCATGTCATTTCTTTAATATCAATAAAACTCTTTAAATTTTGATCATCCTATTATAAAATAATAAACAGAGATGTGCCAGATATATTTTAGTGAATCAACCTGGTTAATTCTGCTAGGAAGACTTTAATATGATAATCAAGTCAGTCCACATGAGCCGTAACTGCATTTCTAGAAGTGTTGTTATTTTTATGTCAATGATATTTCTTTTCAAGATCACTTACAAGTAATTTTGTGTTGTGTTATTTTTAAGGTAATAGATTTGTGAATGGTTTTAGATATAATTGTATTGTATAAGTCAAAAATGCCAATGTCATGAGCCATATATGGAATTTACCACCAGTGAAAAATTCAGTGCACATGTCAGACGCCACTTTATAAACATGTAAATATTTTCAATCAATAAAAATATGCATATCTATTGTGCTATATGTGTCTCATTGACTGTCCAAAAATAGAAGTCTTTACTATAACTTGCTTAATGGTCTTTGATCAGGTTATAAGTTACATGGAATTTTCCCTTACACATTGATTTCACAATCTCAAACATTTACTTGTTTAATAGAGCTATGAGAATGTACTTATTTAATGAAATCATGTATACATACGTACGATTGCGATATAATTGCTTTAAAGAGAGTGTGATTAGCCGCCATTAAAACTTACGTCTTGTTGGAGAACATCGTTGCGGTTGTTGTTGTTGGGAATCATGACACGTATATTCTGATTAGGGTTGGGGCTGGGTCTCATGCTGGGAGGAGTTGGGGCAGGGGATGGTTTGTTTAAACCTTTATGTGCCATAATGCCAGGTGAACTACACGGTGATACTCGATGGTGGTAGCCATTAGGTGTTGGAGAGTGACTCATATCAACCATTCCACCTGAAAAGAACAATGCCAATTGTTAGTTTGACTAAACATGTAAAATATTTAATTATAAAATGTATCATGCAGACAAACTTAAAGGACTAATATCTCTTTGAATCCCACTGAGCTACTATGAGGAAAAACAGTAAGCCTGGATATACAGACCACTTACAGTGTCACAGCATACTGGTTATGTGTATACTCGTTTTGAAATTGAATATCATATATTTTGACTCTCATCTTGTGATCTTATACCTATAGGGAAATACGTCATCTCAACATGAACACAAAATCAGACACGTAGGATAATCTTTCTTCAGAATCATGTACCAGATATAATGAAAACTGAAAAACTCTTGGTGACAATTTCAATGAGATAAAGTCTCTTTATTCACACAAATACTTTATTCAAACAATTTCTGTGATCTTTGCTGTAAAACATCTCTTACATGTAACATTAGCGATTGTTTTTAAAATTGACTTTGAATCTGAAACACGTATAACAGCTGTATGGAACAGATGATTGAATTTAAATATGTTCATTGATTACAGTGATGTTAAGTTTACATCAAAGATTTCCAGACCCAAATCAGTCACGAGTAAATTCTGCTATAAATGTAATGAAGGATTGGGGACTTTGCTTTTACTGCTTGCTGTCAGTGTTCAGATCAAGTCAAACTTAGATCCAATCAAGTCAAATTTAACCATGTCACAATTTTCTTTATAATTTCAAAGAAGTATATATAAAGGAAATATCACCTGTTGAGTTCGGTCTTGGACTAACACTTGGTGGCGCCGATGGTGGATGTAATAGTCCAGGTGATCCAGACATAATATGATTCTGTTGATGTGGGGACATAAGGTTCATTTGTGGGGGTGGGTACCCGCTGTTAGGTAGTCCCAATCCACCTGGCATACCAGGATTCTGGAAATGTGGCATACCTCCCTGAAAGCAGATGATAGAAATAAAGGTAAAAAAAAAAATCCATAGAAATTTTTAGAGCACATTTCACAATACTCTACTCCATGTTTTTATCCTTTTATCTCTAACATTAAAGCTCAAAGCAAATGCAAATATTGAATGTATGCATTGGATCCATTTGATAATAGATCCATATATAGTTGGTAAACGCGTGTATAAAAAGAAAATACAAGTCGTCGATAGCATATTAATGGTAACAATCAATCCAATAGAATTAAATATCATGTTATGGTCTGGTTGTAGTGACGCATGATGCCATTAAAACATAATACATTTAATGGTAGACAAAGAATTCAATTGAGAAAAAGAACTATCATTACGCAGGTATCTGCTCTTTTGCTTCTTATTTTAAAACACTTTGGTGGATTTGTTTCCTAAAATAACAGCTTTTAAAAAAATTGTCGGCCCAAAATAGACAAATTAACACATAATGCTTTGTTCCAATCTTTGACATCATAATGACAAGAATCAAATAACAGAATCTAGGTATATGAGTGCACAAGCGTAAAACCGCATCAGATCTTAATGAAATTTCAAGTCCTGTCGTACTTTCACAATACTTTGAAGTGCCTAATTTTAATATCTTCATACAAATAGATAGCAATAAAACAGTGATTAAACTTACTCGCATCTGATTCAACTGTGAGTGTTGCATAACCCTTTGGTATTCATCATTGATGCGGTCATATTTATCATCAGTGCGCATTCCATGTACATAGGGGTCTGTATCAATAGGCTCTGGGCTGTCACATCCCTTGTGTTCTTTTTTGTTCAGATGCTGAAAAATATAAAATAAAGAGACACATGAAAATCAACCTTCTGTAGTTTGCTGATTTGATCTGATTTAATAAATTAAGTACTAATTTGAATACAATGACACCATAACACATACAGGTCACAAGTCTACGGAATACAAATACTGCTTATATTACTGATCATTACTAAATGCTGTTGAAACAATTTACTAAATAAAACACATGATGATGGTGTTCTGGTTTCAAGAGATATTCACAGTATATGGACTGGTGTACCACAGGCGTAAGATGAGGTATGTTGAGTTGTATTACAGTATCAAGTAGGTGGAAAGCTAGGATACCATCCAATACCATGATATTATATATATGTCCATGGAAATTTTGAGAGACCTCACATACAATACCCGCTTTTGAATTTAATATCAGTTTAATAGTTTGCCATCCAGATTTCTTCCTCACATTGAAATAGAATGTGCAAGCAATCCAAATAAATGTATTTGAAAAATGAGTGATAAAAAACTTTAAATTATTCCATGATATTTCAAATATTTTATGAATCTTCAACATAAAACCATAGAATTTTCATTATGTGTCTAAAAAATGTTAAAAAGACTAATAATAAGGTCAAATAATATCATTTATTTTTCTAGAATATAAGAAAAAAAAAGACATTGGTCTTCAAAGTCCCAACATGGCAGAATAAGATTAAATATTGAGTTTAAATAAAGAACATACACAATGAAAGAGAGAGAGAGAGAGAAATGGGGTTTAACGTCCACTCGACACAAACTAGGTCATCTCGGGACTAACATATGGTTTAATTTTATTTCCATAATTCGCTTGCGCGTAGGGGTCTTTAGCAGTGGGAGGAAACCGGAGGACCCGGAGAAAACCCACGAGGTTGGACAGGCGCCCCTACTCCTTGCCACGTACAACCGGGGATTCGAAACCACGCCAGTCGACTCAATGACAGACTGTATGATACAGCGCGCGCACGCTAACCATTCAGCCATCCAACCCCCCCATACACAATGAAAACAACATTTATTAAATACCACTTTGATTGAAAAATTCTCCAAATCAATCAATTCTAACTTAGTTATGGCCTTTTAGTTTTATAGGTTACATTAGTTTCTTATTGATTCTGAATACACCGCCATCTTTATGTGTCTTAGACTAATAAAGTAAGATTAATTAATAATAATCAATACAGGGACAGATCAAAGGTTGAGGGGGGAAAGGGGGGATGGGTCCATCCATATAGCAATAGTCTTTACCTTAAAATAGCAAATAATTTTGAGTTTTTGAGATATATGTGCCTTTCTTTTATATTTTGTATCTGTTATAAACTAATAAAGAGATTATTAATTACATGTATGAAAAAGGGGAGTTTGTGGTCCATCCATTTACAATGAGGAGAAGGTGAGTTTATTAGGTGTAAGTGCAGCCGCTGAAACTGAACACTGACTTTATAGCCCATTAATGGGTCAGACCTGTACATGTAGTTACCTGGCTTCTAACTGATCAACATTTTGACTCATGAGCTAGTTATTTTCGGCATCTGGTTAGGTTATTAATAGCCACCACACCACAACCTTGACTATTTTTGGTAATGGATCAATTTTCTTATCACTCTAACCCATATAATGCACTGTTATCTGTAGGCCAAACCAATTTTACCTTATTATTAGGAATGAGGAAACATATGGAGTTTCCAAGCCAATTTTCTGTTGACACACATTTCATATAAAGTATGAAACCTACGCCCACAATCTATTCAAATTAGGCCAAAATAAGGTTTTTTTGTCATTTAGGAAAATAGACTGAAAATTTCAAGTAGTATTTTTTAAAATTGAACTATAATGTAGCTTTGCATCTTGTCAAAAGAGAGTTAATCATTTATCAATAAATAGTTTGAATGAAAAAAAAAAAATAAAAAATAACCAGACAATATATGAACCTTAAAGATATTATTCAAACTCAAACTAATCAGTTGGAGGACTATAAAATAAATAATATCTGACATTCTATTTACATCCTTTATCATTATTTTTTAAATTTTCGTACCCTATAATTTACCAAATATAGACAATTATTGACATATATTTTCTATTTCAAAATTTTATTGGTCAAACATAAATCATTCTCATGGACAAGAAGAATGACTCAGCCAATAAAAAGCTTCAAACTGGGGGTGAGCTTACAAGTTCAAAACTTTAATGTTAAAATGTAAACACAAGTATTCTAGCTTTAAATAAAACTCTCCCTCCTTAAGAAAAGTTATATTGGTAACGGTATATGTAGATTTATATTGTAATGGACTGAGCTATTCTAGTTTGTTTATATCCTATATTTAGCATAATTACAGATTGAGTGTGAGAAGCGCTTTTATATAGATTATTACATAATCCTACGCAACACACTATATTTTTAGTATACAAAATAGGCCACAGATGAGAGAACACGGCTGACGTCAGAGAGCTAGTTTGAGGAGGAAATTACAAACCTGTGTAAAAGCAAAGTCTATATATTCTATTACTAGCAGGTCTAAAATAAGTTGAAAAATATTGATTTTTATCTTGGGAAAATAATACTACTAGTCTATGACATCATTATATATTCAAAGATTAATAGAATAATGTGATGTCACAGAATATATTATTACAAATATATCAATTATTTATTGGATTAATAAACATGTTTTTATGGATTATTATATACAGACTGTTTTATATAGATTTGTGACCTATTAAAATTCACAAATTTATTAAATGTAAGGGATATTAATAATTCAGCATATAAAATAATAGTGTATTTTTTCGGTGCGTCATGGCACTACTAATTAACATAACACGAAACAGATATTTTGTTTTTTTGCTGTGATCAAGTTACACCCCCCAAAAAAAAAAATAAACAAAAAGGACCAATCACTCACATATTTGCAAAGACAATACATAAAACAAATGGTGTTTAAACCTTTATTTTTGGCACCGACGTAATAAAGATCGGCACATGCCATGCAGGGAGCCATGAGGGATATTTGGTGAGGAGAGCAGTGCTACAGCCTACTCTTAGTCTTAGCTATATTCTAATTTCCAACTGTCAGAGAATCTGTAATGGACTGTCAGTGGAGTACATGCAACATCTTTCTTTTTTGTTCCATCCAAATGACTAGACACTTTTCCTTGCCAGGCTTACACTAGGCACAGACAAGGGACCTCAGGGTTACAGAGCCAGTGCCATACTCGCAGAGTTACCATAGCTGCCCTTACAAAATTTCTACAGAAGCCCATCTTCAATTGTAATTATGAGTAATAGACGAATATCTAGACATTAAATATGACTGACAAACATATGATATATTACCCATATATAATTCATACTACATGTTGTTATTATAATTATCATAATTTATTGTACTTGTCATAAATTTTGTATCGGACATAAAGTGGTGTTCAGTGTTTAAGTTCTATAAAAATTACATTAATTTAGATAAGATGAATAAACATAGATCTGATTTTATATCTAGATCAAATTAATACTGGCATTACATGATTTTACATACTATAGTAATTCAAATAAATGTTAAGGTGCTAAATAGTATGACATTAAAAACTTTGGGCATTTTTACATTAAAGTAATGGTGCGTTATTTGCATCTTTCGAGAAATATCGAATTTCTCACAGCTAATTATTCCATGCTAATTAGTATGTAATGAGATTGATTATTTAACAGTGTTAAAAAAAATCTATATATCAATGCTAGATAATCTCCCACCTTGGATTTAATTGTATTAAAAACAGGCCCATTAATTAGATGTTGGGAAAACAAAGATGGTGATAAGAGTGTTATAATATCATGATATTATCCAACAATAAGAACACTTGTATCTGGCAACTAGCCTATGGTAGGTTGCAAAATGGTGGAAAGTTCAACTTCCAAGAAATGTAGAATGGTATTGTTGACAGATTCTGTCAAGAAAAAGAAGCGAGAAGAGAGAAAAATAGAACAAGTAAAGTGTACCATTTACATAACGGGGTGGGAGCCAAGGTGGCTAGGTGGGTAAGGCGCTGGCTCGCTAGCCTGAAGGTCGGGTGTTCAATCCCTGCATTGGCCGAGAAAGTTCATCCCGATTTTCCGACGTGGTTTCCCCTCGTCAGTGATGCAGGACGGAGGGCCTGACAAGGACAGCTGCCTAGTCCTTCGGATGAGATGAAAAACCGAGGTCCCATGTAAACATTGGAATGCACGTAAAAGATCTCTTGGCAGTTGGAATTCGATATAAGAGCAGGCGATAGTGCCGCTGCCCGGGCAAAATTTCCCTCATAGCACACTGTATGGCGTATGCCCGTCTTCATTAGCCCAGTATAGGAGCAGAACAGTAGGACGTTAAACCCCATTTCATTTCATTTCATTTCACATAAGGGGGTAGCATGGAATTTCACTTCATGAGATGAAAAACCGAGGTCCCATGTAAACATTGGAATGCACGTAAAAGATCCCTTGGCAGTTGGAATTAGATATAAGAGCAGGCGATAGTGCCGCTGCCCGGGCAAAATTTCCCTCATAGCACACTGTATGGCGTATGCCCGTCTTCATTAGCCCAGTATAGGAGCAGAACAGTAGGACGTTAAACCCCATTTCATTTCATTTCACATAAGGGGGTAGCATGGAATTTCACTTCATCATTACTTTATAAATACTGAATGGAACTGAGCAGCTTTTGGACTGATATTCTTAGAAGAGATTCAACTTTGACAATATTGTAGTTTGCAAGAGATTCCTATGTCACTTTAATCATGCTCAGTAACTTTAAGAAAGTTATTACCATAGTCAAATTTCTACTTTAAAGTATTATTATCATTCAAATCCTATATCATTACAGTAATTATACTTTCTCATTTTTCCAACCATCACGGTCCTTAGTAGAAAAATGTTATTAGTTTTGCTACAGAATATGTGTAACTGTTCAGAAGTTTCCATTTGGAGTTAATAAAATAGTAGTCACTGGTATATAAAAAATATTAACATTTACACAAAATAATCAGGTGAAAATTTATGGATATGAAAAAATCTTATGTTTGTTTTGTAGACCTAAAAAAAGAAAAAAATAAGATCTTCTCAATCATGCACAAAGTCTCTTGACAGCAGAATCCATAGCAATGCTATTACATGGAAATATTGCCATAACCCATCACTTGCACTAACTTTTTATTTTTAGCAATATTTTTAAAGATCTACTTCCCACCAATCTGATTAAAATAAAGATCTAAATCTTGTACGATTTCTTTACATATGGGTTTCATGATAGGTTTGTGTGGGAGGGTGACATCAGGGGGTCATCATGAATGAATGATGTAGACTATTATATTTTGTTCTCTACCATTCAAGCTCAACAGGTAATTTCTAGAATATATACACAATCGATGGTGATTGGCAACAAAATCATAATTTATCAAATCGCAAGTGTCCAGTGACATTTTTTTAAAAACCATACATGATATAGGAATTGTATTGTGGCAGATGTGTTGCCAAGATATACCAAGATAAATCAATGACACAGTGTCAGTCTGCAAAGAACATATTTACAGTTTTGACATGGACATAATATTGTTTTTCAGATAAAGGTAATTTAAATCAACAGATGTATAGAAATTTTTACAAGTTTTGACATCAACTCTGGCAACACAGTTTTTAATATTAAATTCAAACTTCTTTATTTTGATTTCAACTAAAGTCTATATCCAGTCTTTACTCTGTCTGATCACCCTTTGTTACATGAGCACAATTTTCTGTATGATTGGTACATATTTAATTTTCGTTCAAAAATTACAAACGTGCTTAAAATGGTTGAAAATCCTACAATTTAGTTTGATTAATGTATTAAATATTTACATCTCATCTAATTTCTAACAACTTTCTATAGTCTAAGCTTATAGTACAATTTCTGTACACAAAACGTTTTGTCAGAAATTCAGACACGATTCTTGCTTGTTCATGAAAAGCTCATAAAAATTCAGAATTTCAAAGATTTAAGAAAAATGTTGATAACATAATAAAAAGAACAGAGAAGGACAGGCTGACATAATTATTTCAAAATACCATTGATTAAATTAAAGTGGTTTAAAACACTGTTGACTATTAACACGATGGTGGGATATACAAAAAAAAACAGTTTTATACTTATCTTCCAGAAGTTTTTTTTTTTAAGGCTGGATTATGGGGTGTGTGTGTGGGGGGGGGGGGGGGCCTTAACATTATGACCGTATGCAAAATATATACGGATTCTTGTCAGTTGTCAGGTTAGTTGGCAGGTACAGGTATATTGGATGTATGAATTGCATCAGAAACACCTACATTATGCAAATATCTAAAGGCTCTCTCAAATAAAATGTTTATGGTTTGGTAATAAATATAATTGGCAAGAATGATTTCTATTTTGAATACATTCAAAATGTTTTCATTGGTTTAAAGATATGATTGGTGAAAAACATTTTAAATCCTGCAATATTGACCTTGACAACTTGGTAAATATCTATTCAAACTTAGTTCCGTGTAATGTGTGTGAAAAGGACGTAAATTATGTATAATATGCAAAATCCATTATAACCAAGCCTATTATATTATTATTTAATATTATGCAATGTGGTGTGTAAAGCCTTTATACTTAATAATAACCTAGAATATGATTGGTTGTAGTCTAACGCAATCGTTCTAAAAATATTTTGGGGGAGGAATTCCCCACTTGAGATCCGTTATAAAAGTAGGTAAGGATGGTCGTGACACTGTTATTTGGCCTAAATTTCAGTCACTTGAGGTAAATTTCGACAAATTTCCAAAGATTGATTCATTGAATCAGCTAATATCCTTCCTTTTCAAGCTATTAACCAGGATACCCCTCTCATAGTTTTCCTAAGAAAACGGGATAAACTTTACCAATGGTTTATCACATCCTTAATGCGTGAAATAAGTGATGCAAGTTGTTATACTCAGTATAGCCTATAAGTCACAAATATTTCTTGAAATATAACGAGGAGAAGTTGAATCTGAATTGATAAAAAATATGTCTAAATTACTAATGACATATCTGCTTTAGCATTATATGACTTCATTTATTGAACTTTATTAGTGATCTTTAAGAGGTAATAAAGCTTGAATGTTCTTTATAACACATTTTACTCAACACATTAAATTGACTTCATCAATAAGGTACCAGAAAAGTGTATGTAAGCTTTTAATATAAAAAGGTTTACTTCAAGCATAATGTCTAATGTTTTCAAATTTTTACTATTATATGACTGATCAGAAATGTTCCGATCTGATTGGCAAAAATCTTGATCTGAGATTTACCATGATATTAGACTCACACCTGGTACCGTACATGAAATAAATAATAAACTTACCTCTATAATGTCTTTGTTTGTGCGACTCTCATGGGGTTCATTATATTCTGTATATTTAAGTAGAACTTTATCCATATCTGTACTGGCATATTGAAACAGTTTATTATTGCCATTAAATATAATCAGAGCTATCTCACAGTCACATAAAACACTTAATTCATATGCCTTCTTCATCAATCCAAACTTACGCTTTGTAAAGGTCACCTGCAAAAGACCAAAATAATTCAATGATATTTTGCAACAATATTATTATACAAATATTTGATGAAACATTTATACTTAATACAACTAAATAAATTTTAGCCAAACTAGGGTGGCAGCCAATAGGTGTAAAGCAGAACTTTACGTGTAATACCATATTCCATTTGGGGAACTGGCTGTTAATGTATTTTGATGAAATTATCGATTGTGTTTGACACTCCAGACAAAATCACAAATATAAACTTTCAAACCATCATACACAATAATAATAAAAAATAAAAATGTAGTCCAAAAATGATTAAAATCAATTTGGAATAATTGATTTCACGCCACATTCTTTATTTTATTATACTTGCTATTTGACAACTAAAGAACAGCTCATTTCTTTTCATGAACACTCTGGCCCAGATCCCATCTAAACCAGGTTAGAAAGATCAAAAACGGTATTGAATTGGGTTGATATAATGTGTCATTTCGTTTAGCGATGTAGCAAGCTCTATATGAAATTTTGGTTTGCTGCACGCTGTATCAAGTAGAATAACAAATTGGTTATATTTCTACACTGAGTTTGTACACAGACCTAACATTTTGAACATGTCATCCCACAATACAAATCATTATATAAAATCCAATGAAATCGACAATTTTATTTTTTGACTCAAATTAAAGAGCTTGTGTAATTTAAATAAAGGAACATGTTCAAATTATCCTTCAGCCACATCACAGCTTTAAGTATTCAATTCACTGTTAATTTAACATGTTGCAGATGATAATTCTAAAAACTAACAGAAAGATTTGCAAACAACTTCCAATTCAATTAGACAGTGGTCAATATTCTTATCCTAAAATGGCAGACAAGATGGAAGCCACGAGAAAGATGGATTTATAAAACATTTATTTGTTGATTACATGTTATCAATAATACAGACATTTGTCTGATTTTTCCAAATAGCATTTTAAAAACAAATATTGATTTACATGTTAAAAATCAAAAGCTTACTGTCATTTAAATATTACCTACACAATTTCATCCAAATCAAAATATGTAACATTTTTTTTTTTTCCCCAAAAGCTTTAAAGAGCTGAGAGTTTAATTTGTTTAATGTTAATTATTATTTAGACATTTATTTACATGACAAGCCTATAATCAACACTCAAGACCATCAGATTACCAAGATTTAATTTGATAATCTTGTCAATCTGATTAAAATACAAATCTACACTACATGAAGATCTAACCAGTTGTACTGGGAGGTTGCATCAGGGGGTCATACGAGTGGCTTTTGACCCTATGGCGTCAGACATTTGATTAACCAATCTGCATTTATGTTTTTAGAGGATTACCCACAGTTCCGTGCACCACACGCCAAAAGTTTGCCGTAACAGACTGTTTCATTGGCTAATTCCTCACATCATCCAGAACACATCAATGATAACAACTCTTCCAGATCCTAGTGTAGTTAAGACAAGTAAAACAGAATTTTGAACTATAAAAAAACCAAAATGAAATAGGATATATGTGTTTTAATCAGACTGATGATCTTTTCAAAACTTCAAACACTGATAACTTTGCTCAGAATAAAGTAATTTCAACGAAAAATATTCAATATATTCATTTTTAATTATCTATTTTTGAACTATTATATAGCGAGATTAGCCAGTTGTATTATTAAATCTTCCATAATGTATCTTTAACCCTGTTTTATTCAACAGTTCATAATAATATTAAAACAGAGCCTTGAAAACATGCAAGTTACCAGAGATAGTTACCACATGGTTACCATGATGGAAGTAGTTATAAAGAGGGATGGGGGCAAAAATAATTGCAATCTCTATGCAAATGTCTATAACAATTGTCATATTAATTATTAGCTAATCTATATGATTAAAGGTGTGAATGTCCAGCTGATAATGTCCAGGTGATATTGATGTCATTCAACACCACCTGTCAATAATATGAGGTAATTGAAGGATGAGGTCAGAGGGGTCAAGTAAGTTTCTGACAGCAGTGGCACAATGCCTAATGGCTAATGAGAGAAGCTCCTGTATAAATGGCATGGCGCCAAGTCTATAATTTCATGCTTGTCGGAACTTGTTTTGATGAAACTTTACAGTATTGTTTCCTGTAAACGCAGGTTAAAATTCTCATTAAAGTTAACTTTAAACAAAGAAAATATGAATAGAGGCTTGTCTATGTCTAGATAAAGATGTCTGGGTCTATAAGATTGATATTAGCTCCAGGGTACATCTTCCCTAAAATTATTCAAATCATGACTTCAAAGTCTCAAATTGAATAAAATCTTATCAACATTTAGACAACTGCTTTAGTTTGAAATGGGGGTATAATGGAAGTACACCAAGGATATAATGTGGACAGTGAAAGAGTTACAATGATATGAAGGGTGTACATAAATTATAGTTGTCTTATTAATATCTTTTGTATTTCAATTCATTTTTAACTTCTCTTATGTCCAGAATTTTCATTCCACCTAACTCTTAATAAAGCCAGATAAGTGAGGTTCCAGGAAATGGGCGTGAATGGAGATGTAGCTCATCGCTACACATGGGTATTTGGTGATTGCATGATGATCTGATATTGACAAGAGAGAGAGAAATGGGGTTTAACGTCCACTCGACACAGACTAGGTTATTTCGGGACTAACATATGGTTTAATTTTATTTACATAATACGCTTGCGCGTAGGGGTCTTTAGCAGTGGGAGGAAACCGGAATACCCGGAGAAAACCCACGAGGTCGGACAGGCGACCCTACTCCTTGCCACATACAACCGGGGATTCGAAACCATGCCAGTCGACTCAATGACAGACTTTATGATACAGCGCGCGCACGCTAACCATTCAGCCATCCAACCCCCCTGATATTGACAAGCGACAGTGTTAGTCTCAAGTAAAGTCTGAGCATGTATAAAGTCAACTGTCATTTTAAAGACCACCTCTGGTTCATACATAAAAATGAAATGAAATGTGGTTTAAGGTCCTACTGTTTTGCTCTGACTGGGCTACTGAAGACGGGCACATGCCATACATTGTGCTATGAGTGGAAATTTTGCTCAGACAGCAGCACTACAGCCTACTTGATTCCAACTGCCACAGGATCTTTTATGTGCACACTAATGTGTACATGGGGCCTCGGTTTTTCGTGCCATCTGAACCAGACACTCCTCTTGCCATCCTGTATCACTGATAAGGAAAAACCACACTGGAAAATCCTGAGGAACTTTCTCAACCAAGACTGGGTTTGAACATGGGACCTCTAGGTTAGAGAGCCAACGTCTCACTCCTTCATACATAGAAAATGCTGGTGATTTGTGAAATGATTGTTAAAGCCCCAGTCATTTGAAACATCAGTTATTTCAAATATAACTACTTAGATAAAGGATTTTTAATCAATATCTAGATGAGTGGAATCAGTTCTAAGAAGATTATAAATCTGCAGACTGTTTTAGTTTTTGGTCTTCAATGATTGCATTGCAGTACAATCTATCTTCAATTAAATGCAATCATTGATAACCAAGTTTTTCCATGCGCCAAACTATTATTTTATTAGAACTATGCACATCTTGTGTGAACAAGAGTACTTAACCCAAAAAGCAGTTCTGATATTTGATTTGATAATCAATACCAGGAAATTGACGTCAGAAATCCTAACTACCATCTAGAGAAATAAAAAATTCATGATGTCTGTCATTGTAAGATGATGTAGAAATAAAGTAAACAAGAGAAATATATGGACTTTATCAACATTCAACACAATTGGGAATTACTTAATGATCTACCTATCAAAATTTTACATGATTTACTACAACAAAATATTTTTAAAAAAAACCCATCACAAACAGCATTAGAGGGAAAATGGGACCTCAGGTTTTCATTCCTTCATGTCAACTAGATGCACGTGCACCTGACTAGACTGAAAAGAGGAAACCGGACTGAAAATTCACAAGGAACTTTCCGCTCAGGATCAAACACTCAAATTTTGGGTTAATGAGCCACCTCATCATTCCCTGTCCCACTGTGGCTCCCTGTTATGAAAAGAAATGAAATGAAATTGGATTTAACGTCCTACTGTTCTAATGAAGACAGGCAGATGCCATACAGTGTGCTTTAAGGTAAATTTTGTCCAGACAGCGGCACTAAAACATACTCCTATATATCAAATTCCAACTGCCAAGGGATCTTTTACGTGCATGCCAATGGGTACACAGGACCTCGGTTTTTAATTCCAACCGAATGACTAGACAGCTGTCCTTGTCAGGCCCTCAGCACTGTACCACTGACAAGGGGAAACCATGCCGGAAAATCCTGATGAACTTTCTCAGCCAACACTCACTTAGCCTCATGGCTCCGATATGAAAAGACGTCTCTTAAAATTTATATACAGCATGAACAATAATTGTTAAATCTCAAATTTGTCATGATTTAAGCAACTTTAGACAAAACCAACATGATATCTATAGCCTGCACTGGGGATTGTGGAGTCTAACCGTTTTGCACTAAAGCCAGCGGTTGCCAGGCAAGATACACTCACATTTTGCAAGAGATGGACAGAGAACAAGCTCAAAAAAGAAGAAATTTTTTGTACAATCAGGGGCCATAAGCCAGGAAGTTAGGGTCCGATATGCACGAATATCAAAAGAAGTGAGATCTTTTGGAATATATATAAACATATATCTTAAGTTTCATCAAGATCGGATAAAAACTGTGACTTCTAGAGGGTCCACAACTTTGGTATTACATACTTTTACACTATTTTCGTACAAGCAGCAGCCATTTTGTCAAGCAGTTTTGGTCTGATTTTACGAGATTCGAACTCAACTATCATTTGTGTGTAATGGTGATATATTAAACAGTTTTTTAAATTAGATAAAAATTGTTACCTCTAGCGGTTCCACAAGCTAAAAAACATGAATTTTTGTACAATCAGGGGCCATAATCCAGGAAGCGACGGTCGATTTGCAAAAAATAATGGAAGGAACTGAGATCTTTGGGTTATAAACAAACATGTCAAGCTTCATCAAAATCGAAAAAAAAAAGGGTCTACAACCTCAGTATTACATACTTTTAGACTAATTGCAGTTTCAGTCAGATTTTTACGAAATTCGACCTCAACCATCACCGGGTGCAACGGTGAAATATTTAAACATTTTTTAAAATTGAACACAAATTGTGACTTCTTGAGGGTCCACAAGCTAAAAATGTGATTTTTCAAACAATCAGGGGCCATAATCCAGGAAGTTACATTCTGACTTCTTGAGGGTCCACAAGCTAAAAATGTGATTTTTCAAACAATCAGGGCCCATAATCGTGGAAGTTACGTTCCGATATGAGCGAATATCGAAATGAACCACGATCTTTGTGATATAAACATACATTTCAAGTTTCATCAAAATCAGATCAAAATAGTGACCTCTAGAGGATCCACAAACTAAAAATGTGATTTTTCGTTTAATCAGGGGCCATAATCCATGAAGTTACAGTCTGATACATGCAAATTTAGACAGGAACTCAGATCTTCGGAAGATACACCTTTATTTCATGTTTTGTTCAAATTGGATAAAAATTGTGACCTGTAGAGTGTCCACAAACAAAATGTGAACGGACAGAGGTACAGTGGCGACGACAATATACGTCAACATGAAAATGTGGGCGCATAAAAAGAGAAAATCTACATGAAGATCGGTTGACTGAACAAGGGTACGCTGACTGAATAAAAATAGAAAGAGTTATTGATAATCCTATTCATGGTGTTCACAGTGATTGATATAGCTTACTCAAGTAGTATTTACCGATATATTATTATAGACAAGACAATTCACACCCACACGATCAACTGTGTCCTAATTAAGGTAAACAAATTGTACAATCTACATGTTATGATCTATGAGAGCTTTCTGGTTCACTTCTATGCCATTTATCAGTTTCACCTTAGAAATGTCACCTAATTTCGTGATTTCTAATTAGGCCAAAAAAACTGTCACAGTTTATATTTTGCAATCTGCTCGTGTCACAGGTTGACTGAAGTCTTTATGGCATGACAAAATCTCATTCGTATAGATAAACTGGCATGTTAGTCTCCCCATCCTAGATTCTCTAGACATTTTGTCAAAATAATTCACCCCGAGGTAGACAGATGTAACAAAAGTCATATTTCTTAATACAGTACATGTGTAGTCTATATTATATTCAAGACAGAATAAAACTGTCTAGGATGTATTATATAATGAATGTGAGAACTCTTCTTGTATCATAAAAAGAATTCTATTTTGCAATATCATAACTTTGAAAATCTAAACAAGGAGCTTATAAAACCATTTCAAACTTTGGTGAACATATTAATTTTAGAAGTCACATCGAATATATATGGAGTTTACTATTTAAGTATTCTAAGTTATGGTTAGTCTATAAACAGTTTTTGACCCATCCAAAAAATTGTTCCATAAATCTGTTCCATAAATTTTGAATATTACCGGTAGTCAATTTTAAATGATTTTAATGATCAAATCTTTCATAGGCTTATACAGTGGACTCTGTCACTCCTGACATCTGAATACTATGTAGAGCATTCTGTGAAATCTGTCATCATTTTCATGTTTTGAGTAGTCTGTATTCTGAATATTCCGAATTACAACATTTTAGGTAATAAAATTTTGAATGTACAGAAACATTTATCATATTTTATGTTCTGGGTATTCGAAGATGCATACTTGTGGTATCCAAGGTACAATAATACTTTCGATATTGAGACAATTGAGTATTCCATCATGCTGTATAATTCGGCATATTGTATCGATCCTGTACGTCGTCGGAAGTGACAGAGTCCACTGTACTTACAGGAGACAAGAAATTCATCGAATTCCATCAATTATTTAGTTTTACTTCAGATCGAAAAATAATAAGTACCAAAATATCAGTTCATATAGGGTCGAAAAAACATTTTAAATTTGAATATGTGTGCTCTCTGTCCTGGAAGACAATCTTAAAACAAATAACTAACACAAGATAGTTGGTGTGAAATGTCATTTAAATGATGACTAAAGCATAGGTTCTGACAGTAATTAAATGTAATTAGACTGCCAGTACATTAAAGATATAATAGATGCTTATTAAAAATATCAAACAATTACCCGAAGAACCTCATACTTCTGAGAACCAACCAAAACTCATCACAAACAAAAGCAAACAACCATAAGCAATGGCAAACAAACACACAACATATTCAAATTTAGGCTGGAAGATAGCATGGAAAGAAAGAGGGCAGTTCAAAGTTAGTCTTTGAGTCAGCCTATCACAGTAACACAGTTTATCCCACAATGATCATCAGTGAATATTCGATAGTCGCTATGCAAATTAAATTCTAGAACATTTTTTTAATCATTAGAAAAATAATTCATGGTGTCTCAAGTATATGTAGGTAAAAAATATTTCCTATTTTTAGTGTACCTGGGTATGTAAAATGAGTAAAAGGCACCATTCTGCCCGGACTAGTAGCGTCTTATGTAAACTATGCACGTGCCATTAAGCCAATGATTGACACCGCGTGATGTGACATCAGATGATAAAGCAGTCATCTTTTACAGAGCTATAAGTCTTCGCAATACCCAAGCAGGATAGCAAATGCGCAACAATAATAGTGGCGGGAAAATGATCGAAGCACTACCGGATGAGCATTAATTGATTTTCTAAATGAAAAAAATATTCCTATACTGTATTGATGACATTTAAGAACAGCGTTTGTCATCTCAAGTTTAATCAAGAAAGTTTAAATCATGACATAATGATATATTAGATGTAGGTAACAGCCAGGAAATGGGCTTATTTAAAATTGAAAGAAGACACTATATAGAAAATATATGGATATGTTGCTAATTTCAAACATCCTACTTTTCTGTACCACTACACTTTTTTCCTTGCAAGATCCTCCATCCTGCACCACTGACAGGGATACTGGAGGTTAGATAATCCTCAGGAAGTTTCTCGACCAACACACTGACCTCCTGGTTATTGAGTCAACACCATACTCAGTGAACCAGGGTAATGCTACCCTACACGCATGTATATAGGCCCCAGCTAGGTGACCACTTATTTCTACCACAGATGGAGCAACATGTGGCCATCTTTCTCCAAAACATGCATGAGGTTCACTATGGAAATCTTGAAGTGGCACACTAGCAAACATGTACAACATTCCATCCTACAACGTAACCAAACTCTTAACTCTCCAATCTTCTGCCTCAAAATCATAGAGTTTCACCTAAACGTTGCAGAAAATATAAATTCAAATCATTTTCTTTGATTCTACACAAAAGTTGTCACGCATGGAGTAAAAGGAAAAGGGATAAAAAGACTATAAATAGAAGGAATTACATTCATGGGTAATGACTGCGATATCACCTCGGTGGAAGCGGCCGTAAAATACAACTAAAACTAACAACAATTCATGGGTAACCAAATGGAAGAAAACAGTGGTCTTTGTCTTTTTATACATTTTATTAAAAAACCTGACCTGTCTATTCCTTTCATCACTGATCCGTGATATTTGAATTTTCTTCCTTCCCATGGTTCTCCTCCTGCCACCTTCTCGGTCACCCTCAGTGTTGGCGTTATGCTCCAATTTGCCGACTTAAAATTCACCACAGAAAACTGCAAATAGAAAAATAGAGTCATTAATTCATATGGCATCATCCTTTTTCAAGGAAATAACAAGAAAAAATAAGTAAATATTAAATAATTACCAATTAATCACCAATTAGTAATGAGTGTACATATCATTATCAACGTCATCAGATTTTTTATATTGTGCTTGTAAGTAAAATTTTACATACACATACATGAACAATAAGTATTGTATATTATAATAATCCGAACTACTATCACGTACATATACCATATCAACATGTTAGTATAATAATTCATTTGAAAGCGGGACATTGCAATATCAACATGTGACCATGAAAAGAAGATTTGTGGTTTTACATCTTTATTAATTGCATCACAACTCTAAGTAATAATATACGATTATTCGTCTTTGTTGTTGACAAATAAGATAATGGTATTTTCCGTATTGTCATTGCTATTGTTTGTCAACTTTTAAACATACAATAGGGTACCTGTCTTTTGTCTGCCATGTACATCTTTCTTTTTAAACTTGGGGACAAGAAAATACTACTTTAGATCAATTTTTTTTCCTTATTCCTGTCAGCAATTAAATGTGAACTTTTCTTACCCAAGAACAATGCCAAGGTGTATCTTACACTATGGTTTTGAAACAAAAGACGCTTAAAGGGCAGAATACTTCCTAACAATGGCATCCTTATAATTTGAGTTGACACTGATTTTAAACAAATATTAGCGATTTTTCTAAAAGAATTTATTGTATAGATTTGATACTATTCAACAGGAGGATTTTGCAGTGTTCGTTTAACAAATGTAAGAAAACAATTCATATTCGCACATCACTCTTTTAAATATTATTTTAACATTTCTTTGGAATGCTGTACCTACATATACTGCCCAAAAAGGGTGACTTATGTAATAAAATCTATCTATCAACAGTAGGCTACAGAAGAGTCTTGAGGATGAGTTTGTCTCCTCAAATCTTTCAAAAGTTGTCAACACCATAGAAGACATATCAGCTAGACAAAAATGACTGACAGATCAATTCCATACATTTATTCTAATTATTAGTACAATGATAAAATCAATTGCTTTTAACTACAGATTGCTTAAAGTTGTCTCAGGTTTCCCAAAATGATGAAATACCTCCTAAAAACTTTTAATTTTACAAGTCAAATGTTACTGGTATATGGGCTTGCATCTGTCTGTGAGAAATTCTGATAACTTATATTGCTAACTGAATATGTAAGATAAGAACAACACAATTACTATACATATATGACAATATAGAGGCTTACAGCTCAACATTATAATAATGAGAGAAAGTCATCCACCCTGTTAATGATATTAGGGCCTGCTTGTGCTCCATTAATTAACTGAACATACCTGACAAGTCATGCAATATCACTGATGACATCAAACAGAAAGGAATACTTTCAACAATACACGAAAATCTCAGGGGCGGATCACAGTGGGGGGAACTCCTAGGGGCCCAGGTCCCCCTTAATTAACAGTATAAAAAAGTTTGCTTGTTATATTCTGTTTCTTTGAAACATGTAAATTTGAGCTTTATGTCTGTTGGGGTGATGGGGAAGTTGAAATTGAATATTATACTTGGATTGAGACATGTGCCACAAATCACCATTGACACCACAACTTTTCAAAATTTTATAGGAGGATGAACGTACCCCCCCCCCCCTCCAACCTAATATCAGTGATATCACATCTAGTTTCACTTAGAAAATGGTTTAATAAAATAAGTTGATTGAATGAAACTGGTCATAATGTTATTGACAGGTATTGTGGGTCTGGTTCTCAGTGGGTGCATACTGTTAACTGTCAAAAATATTGTCAATTTCATCAGTGAGATCACATCAAAGTATTACAGTGTTTCACTGGAACACCAGAAGGAAATATTTTACCATAAATTATTTTACTGTCAACATGAACTGCAAAATGGGTTAATGAATGGAGTCCATAAAATTAAATTTCACCTTTAGTACATCCATATCTTGAGGCCAACATTCGCATTAAAACACTCCCAAGCTATAGTAATCCTACCAATAAATAATATAAGCTTATAAAACAAATTTATTGGATTGATCTTGTCAAGATTGCACTCATTTGCACTCAACCGGGTTCAGGACATATTCCACATAAACTGGTAATGGTATTAAATGTTCTGTAAGCATACTACACCTCATTGGTGTGAAAATTTGGAGGGTACTTTGTGCAATGTAACCCATGGATAAAAAACAATCTTACATGTCTAGCCACGGTGGGCTGGTGGTTTGAACATTGGACTCGCCACCAGAATGTCCCGACTTCCAAAACCAGGGTGAGCTATGATATTCCTCTTATACCATCAAGTTTTTTAAGCCATTTTCTCATTTGTCAAGATTTTGTCAATGGAGATGACAAAACATGAGTTCTAGTTGTTTCGAATTGGATATAAAACAAACCCTGTGTATAAATTGATCTGATAACTTGATCTGAAATAATGGTTTAATCACAAAATGGTAACCATTATAAAAGGTCGATGACAATTTAATAATGCGGTTTCAAAATGGGTTGTGTAAAGCCACCCTATAGACCATGTTGCAGGGATGTATAGCTCACTGGAAGTGATTGGATTTTATACCTAAGACTGGGAGTTTGATTTTTGACAGGAACATTTATACGAGCAGAGTGCTGGTCAATCAAATAAATTTTGAAACTGACATTGATGATTTATTTAATAGTAGTTAACAGATGAAAAGATGATCAAAGTTTTTCCTATTGATTATTGCCTTCAGGCTACAGGTATACAATTTTATACATGATAAATTGACAGCTACCATACTATATCGTTAAGTCCAATCAAAATAAACCTATTTTTCTTAATAAAGGTAAGCTGGTACAAATATAATGAATCATATTTATAATGGCATACTACTTTTCTGGTAAAAGTTGAAAACCTTCCTCATTTTTTTTTATATAATAAAAATTGGTTTATATCAATAGCTAGTGTTCAATTTAGTTATCAAGATATCAAGCATTTAATAAGCTTATGATGGCCTGTATTTCTATCACTATTAAATTACAATATTTACAGTAGGAATGCTCTGGATTACGTAAACTTCATTCATGATGCTAAATCAGAATTTATCAAATCTGTAACGTGACGAAGTATGTACCTGACATATAAGCTCAAGTCTGCTAACTATTTTGACGTCATCCTTAAGTTTACTGTACAGCTAATACTGTTAGTGTTTGTGGAATTTAACCTGACTACCAACTAAAATTGACATAGTCCTAATCCTCAAAAATTCAATATTTAATCCACATAACCAGCGTGATATCAAGTCAATTCTTACAGATAGCCACGCTAGCCACATGGATTTATTTTCTTCTATTATATTAGTATTTGTAGCAATAAAAAAAAACTAAAGCCATCAACACACACACACCACTCCCTTCAAAAAAATCTTGCAGCCATACATAAATATTAACTGATCATGAAGATGGTACAGTGATTAACTGACACTCTTAATATCAAAACTTGCATTTCTGTATACAGTACATATGTATAGTTTTAAAGAAAACTGCTCAATACTCATTTAATTCTGCAAGCATTTACCATTTACAGAAGTATAATCTGTAAAATCACTGACAAGCAAAACAACAATTAACAAAAAATTGTAGTCAGATTTAAATTTGTTTTCAAATTATTAAAAGTGTTTTCAGTAATGTTTGAAAAATAAAGATCCAAATCATAATAGAACAATAACTCTAAAAAGTTTGTACGTAACCATAATTAAAGTGGATAAGAGAAAAATGGGACGGAAGTTAATGCTTCTACTAGATGAGTTCCAGACATGATACAATCTTAAAAACATCATAAAAACTAACCAAGCTACCAATATATTTCTCATGTTTCCATATTACACTGAATCATGTAAAATATTATATAATATTAATTTGCTTCAAATTGACAAAAGTTATAATGTTTAACAAGAGAATTCACTTACAACACAATGATAAAATATTTTCATAAACCTTTTCACAATATATTCTGCAGAATGAAAAGACTTGATCAAAGGATAATTTAAATGATGTCTAATGATGATTGTGCATTATGATAAAATGACTAAATATTTATTTCCAGGGAAACATATTGAAAAGGATGTTGCACTAATTTTATACTATATTAGAAAATCACAAATTTGATTTTTGTTTGTCACCCAAAAAGGATTAAAGATATGTAACCTTTGATATTAATTTTACACCACAATAAGGGTAGTTCCTGAAATGACCACATGCTCAGGATCAGCCAGAAACATGATCTGTTTAGTAAAACATAGAGCACCAGTAGTCATCCTGTAGACCATTTGCAGAAAGAATACGTTTATGGAAGTGGAATAAATAATTCAGTTATATTTCATCAAATTATCATTTTTTTTAGATAAAATTGTAAACCACACAGCTATTATTTCTTTCTTTTATTTATCAACCTTCAATTAAAACCTCCGATTTTGAATGTGTGACAAACCTGAACTTTAGAAGATTGTATACTGCGTCCATAATATAATCCATGTGCATCATGTCTGTTTCAGATTTCATCTCTATGGACCATATCCAGTTTGCTATTAGGGAATTCTGCCTATCTCAAATTCCAGTTGTTATTTAATAAGATTGCAGTTTGATATTTGACCATTTACTTCCGTTTTGACCATATCCAGTTTTTTCGTCTGCAGAATGCTGCATAATTTTCAATTTATTATTTCTTTGTAATCTATGAATCATTTTTGGATTGATATTCCTTTTAGAGATTAGAGAGAGAGGGATAAATGGGGTTTAACGTCCACTAGACACAAACTAGGTCATTTTGAGAGTAACATATGGTTCAATTTTATTTCAATAATTTGCTTGCGTGTAGGGGTCTTTAGCAGTGGGAGACAACAGGAGGACCTGGAGAAAACCCACAACATTGGGCAGGCGACCCTACTCCTTGTCACATACAACCAGGGAATCGAAACCACGCCAGT